GTATGGATTGGCCAGACCCCAGCAGTAAGCCAACCTACCTATTGGAGCATCTGCCCCCTGCATCATAGCAACTGGCTGAACAGTCGAATGAACAGTTGGACACTTAGCATATTAGGCTTTTATGATATAGGATTAGGAAAGAGAATATTCTTGTTTTTAGGCCTTGCACATTGAAATATTTAAGAGTAAAGGGCATCATGTGGGCAATTTATTCTCATATGCCTAGAAAAATAATAACATGTGTTTGTTTGTATATACATAAATATGAAGAAAAGACTAAATCAAATGTAATAAAATGTTAATATTTGTAGAATTTGTATAGCAGGTATATACAAATTCCTTTTATTATTTTTGCACCTTTTCTCTAAGTCCAAAATTATTTTGAAATAATAGTTTAAAAACATTTAAAAGTCTCTTCAGAAAATCCCTCAGAATCAAATCTAGTGGCCCTTTGATAATCTATCATTGACTTGGCTTTTCCCTCTCTTTTTCTCCCCCTATCCTGCTTTCCTGATCTTGGGATTAGAATGGATTTATAACGAGACTGGAGAAACCACCACCTAATTGTATTATCCGAGGCCTTGATGATACGCCTTCACCGAGGCACTGGGGAAAACACATGAATTGCTGAGGAGGCCACTGACACCTTTGAAAAGCTCTGGGGTAGTTGTCCTTTGAGGACTGAAATTGACAGAAGCTGCTGCTGCAATAGGACTCCCTAGAATCAATTAGAAGATGGAAAAAAAAAGAATTTCTGAAGGGCAAAGGACAGATGACAGACATAACTACTATACTGGAAGCAAAGGTAGAGTGCAGCCAGGGTGCCTTGACCAATAGGGATCTGTGGTGATGGCTAATATATTTATGGTACCCTTTTAAAATGTACAATTACGTGGTTTATTAAATATTGCAAAAGTTGTATGCTCACCACTATCTAGTTCTTGAACATTTTTAGCACCCTAAAAAGAAACCCTACATCCATTACCAGTCAACCCCGATCCTTTCTTTCCCCTAGTCTTTAGTAGCCACTAATCTATTTTGTCTCTATGTATTTGCCTGTTCTGGACATGCCATACATATAGAATCACACTTATGCCCAGCTTCTTTCATGTTTTCAAAGTTGATCCAAGTTGTAGTATGCATCATATTTCATTCCTTGTTAGAGCTAATACCACAATTTGTTTATCCATTCATCAGCTGATAGACATTTGGATTATGTCCACGATTTGCCTACTATAATAATGATGCTATGCGCATTCATGTACAAATTTTTGTGTGGGCATGTTTTTATTTATCTCAGGTATATACCTGGAAGTGGAAGTGCTAGTCACATAGAAACATTGTGTTAAACTTTTTGAGGAACCACCAAACAGTTTCCTAGCAGCTACAGTTTTGTTTTTGTTTTGTTTTTTAAATATATTTTATTGATTTTTTTTTTATTTTTTTTTACAGAGAGGAAGGGAGAGGGATAGAGAGCTAGAAACATCGATGAGAGAGAAATATCGACCAGCTGCCTCTTGCACACCCCCTACTGGGGATGTGCCTGCAACCAATGCCCTTGACCAGAATCGAACCTGGGACCTTTCAGGCCACAGACCAACGCTCTATCCACTGAGCCAAACCAGTTTCAGCCTAGCAGCTACAGTTTTACTGTAAGTGTATGAATAAGCGTTTTCATTTCCCGACATCCTCACCAACACTTTGAATGGCTGCAGTATCTTCACTAGAGAAAAAAATCAGTTCATCCTCTGGCATTTGATATGTAAAAACTGATTAATGCATCCTTCTGAAAAGGAGGATCAAATTCAATTTAACTTGATGTTAGATAGAAGATTATATTAGTTGGCTATCATATGATTATGTATTCCTACCCAGTCATGTGACTTGACTGTGAATCCTGTGGGAAGTCTATGTACCTGCCTTTGATTTTGGGCTTAACCACATGGCATGCTCTACTAAACCAACAGAATGTGAGAAGACATGCTAAATATTTGCTACAATTGAACAGAAGTTTACAATTCTGTTTCCTCTCAGTTTATCTCAATCCTATATTCTGTAACATCCCAGAGTTCTGCTCATTGAGCCTACATCCCACAATAGGAAGACATACACTGAGTGGCCAGATATTCTGCTCATTGAGCCTACATTCCACAGTAGGATGACATACACTGAGTGGCCAGATTATAATCTCTGAATGCATAATAATCTGGCCACTCAGTGTGTGTGTGTGTGTGTGTGTGTGTGTGTGAATTTTATTTTATTTTTTTAAAATATATTTTATTGATTTTTTAAGAGAGGAAGGGAGAGAGATAGTTAGAAACATCGATGAGAGATTCATTGATCAGCTGCCTCTTGCACACCTCCTACTGGGGATATGCCCGCAACCAAGGTACATGCCCTTGACCGGAATTGAACCCAGGACCCTTCAGTCCCCAAGCTGACGCTCTATCCATTGAGCCAAATCAGTTTCAGCGTGTGTATTTTAGAGGCCCAGTGCATGAATTCGTGCCTGGGTGGGGTCCGGCCAGCCTGACCAGGGGGAGGGGACAAGGGTGGTTGGCTGGCCTGCCTGTGGTCAAACTCCTGGTTGAGGGGACAATTTGCATATTAGTCTTTTATTATATAGGATATCTACTGAGTGGCCAGATTATTATGCATTCAGAGATCATAATAATCTGGCCAATCAGTGTATATAGTAGAGCCCCAGTCAACCTGTAGCCAAGCAAATTGATATTTGATAATTGATATTTGTACATTAATTTAAATTTTTATATATTTTATATGCATTAAAGAAAAAGTCTCAAAAGCTCACTAAACTATTAACTGTATTAATTAAATCAATGTATGCCTGGATAATTTTCACTTTGTACATTTTTGTATTGTTTGGTCTTTTTAATGAACTTACATTTATGATTCTTTCTTCACTCCCTGTTATTTTAAATTACTCATACTGTCTATTCAACTTAGATTAAGCTAGAATGAATTTATTTTTCAAGAAAAAAAATCAATAATAAAAATTGAGTTTATTCTTTAAAAATGAGTTTAGTTTAAAAAAAAACAAAAAAAAAAACCACTTTGTAAAACCCTAAAGACTCCACACACACACAAAAAAATGACAATGAGGTACCATCTCACAACTGTCCGAATGGCTACCATGAACAAATCAACAAATGACAGGTGCTGGCAAGGATGTGGAGAAAAGGGAACCCTAGTACACTGCTGGTAGGAATGCAAACTGGTGCAGTCATTATGGAAAACAGTATAGCTTTTTCTCAAAAAATTAAATACAGATTTGCCATTTGACCCAGTGATCTCAATTTTAGAAATATATCTTAAGGAACCCAAAACACCAATCAGAAAGAATATATGCAGCTGTATGTTCATATCAGCTCAATTTACAATAACTAAGATCTGGAATCAGCCCAAGTGCCCATCAGTAGACAGTGATTAAAAAAGTACATTTATACCATGGATTACTATGCAGCAATAAAAGAGAAGGATCTTTTACCTTTTGAGGTAGCATGGAGGGACCTGGAGAGTATTGTTAAGTGAAATAAGCCAGTCAGAGAAAGAGAAGTATCACATGATCTCACTCATATGTGGAATCTAACTTAAAATAGGCTGATGAACAAAATAGATCCAGAGACACAGAAGCATGGAAAAGACTGTCAAATCTCAGAGGGAAGGCGGGGAGGGTGGGTGGAAGAGATTAATCAAAGAACTTGTATGCATATATACATAACCTGTGGACATAGACAACAGGATGGTAAAGGTTTGGGGTATGGGGGGGGGCTCTAGCAGGGGTCAATGGGAGAAGAAAGGGGGACATATGTAATACTTTCAACAATCAGATTTTTTTAAAGCACTTTGTACATGTGTGATTACATTTGTAGCTCTCACTGAAAATACAAGTTTAAGAAAAAAACAAAAAACAAACACAAAAAATACAAAACATAAAAAAAATATTGTATCCATTCTTAGCAATCTCAAAACATCCTTTAGCTATATGAATAATAGCTTCATAACAAATTAATTCTTCCCTAACCACCAATATTAATGCAAATTTGCTTAGCAGGTTAAATAGATCTGTGTCATACTTTCCACCCTATATAGCACCATGTAAACCTCTAAAACCTCATTTGATCTGAGTCAACCCAATTCTGAATTTATCCCGCCATTCTGCCTGGGATGAGACAGGGCTGCAGTTGAAAGACTGAAGAAGGCTAACTGTAGGCCAACTGAGAGACATTCTGTTTGGTTGGTGTGGCGTGGTAGTTGAGTTTCCACCCATGAACCAGGAAACCGAAGGTTCAATTCCTGGTCAGAGCACATGCCTGGGGTTGTGGGCTTGGTCTCCAGAAGGGAGCAAGCAGGAGACAGCTGATGGATCAATGATTCTCTCTCATCATTAATGTTTCTACCTCTCTGCCTCTCTCCCCCTCTCTCTTCTTCTCTGAAATCAATAAAAACTTTTTTTTTTTTAAAGAGACATTATGCTTGTGGTGGATATCTTGATTCATTTCATCTACAAACACTACTGTAAATACCATTCCAAGATATTTTATAAAATAGAATATTTCTTAGAAATAAAATATCCCTTCCAATATTCATTTTTACTTAAAAGGAAATTGTTAATCTGTCCTGATGAAAAGAAATAAAATAGCAAATAAAAGGACAGTAAACATTAAGAATGACAGTACTAGTTTTAAAAATCATCATCTATGATTTATTTATGTTTAAAATGTATTTCAGAAGTTTTTATGAGACTATTTATAGTCAACATAATTTCAATGGAACTTTAAGCAGTTATAGTTCAACTCGCTGTAGTATTAACTTTTCTTCTTTTCTGATTCCTCTACCAATTTCAACTTTTCCTTTAATTCCTTCTGATCTCTGGAATACTGTTCAAATATTGGTTGAAAAATATATATCCCTCCAGCAATTCCAAGGATGCCAGCAAAAAGCATTTGTGGTAGAGTCACTCTCCCAAACATGTTTTTAACAAATGCCACACGGTACAAAGATGGTTTTGAACAACTCCACTCCACTCAGGAAATCTCTTCAGATCTGTGTACAAAGAAATGGAAAACAAAGCAATTAGTACAACATACTTTTTTAAAAATGTATATTTTATTGATTTTCCACAGAGAGGAAGGGAGAGGGATAGAGAGCTAGAAACGTAGATGAGAGAGAAACATCGACGAGTTGCCTCCTGCACATGCCTGCAAACAATGTACCGTATATGCCCTTGACCGGAATCGAACCTGGGATCTTTCAGTCCGCAGGCTGACGCTCTATCCACTGAGCCAAACCGGTTTTGGCTATAAGATACTTTTTAAAGATTTCAAGTCTCTATTTTGTTCCATAGTGAATAGTGTTTTCTCATAATATGTAAATATTACTTACTGATTTAATTAAAATAGGAATACATATATTTAGGGAGTATGGAAAATGAGCATTAGGGGATGGTGTAAAAGCTAAGTCCTATTACAGAATGTTCTCAATGGATAATTTAAAAGGGCAGAGTGGGACAAAGTTGAGCCATATTCTTTATACCTTTAAGGTATACCAGTCCAATCTGGAAGTAGGAGACAGAGAAATGCTTTTATTAGCCTATCTCTACTATCATATTTTTAGCAATATGTATTATTAAATACAATAGTCTTTTAAAACAGGCTAAAAATTGTATGAATTTCCTTTGATGCTTTATTAAGTACAAGCAGACATCAAATATAAATCATTCGCCATCCATTTTTGACAAAAATATAACAGAAATTTGGACGGTTTACCTCTAACAACAGAGAAGTTAAGACTCTAGCACTTCTTGGAAAGTTGTATTCCTTGCCGACATCTTAGTCTCTGGAGAAACTAGGTAGGTGTTTATGAATTAGGGAAGCAGAGTAAAGGTTTTACATATTCCCATTATTATAGCAATATTTCATAGTCTCACAAAAACCATTAATGGCAGAAATGATACTAGAAGCTAGCTTGCCCTTAATATCACTAAAATGTAATATAAACTAATCTGGGAAAGAAAAACCTATTTTCTCCTAGACTCTACCATTAACTAGACAAATGATGTCACCAAGCATACTTTAGATCAATGCCTGCTAAATGTTAAAAAAAAAAAAGGAGCCATTTGCTCTTTGGAAAATCGATGATTACCCTTCTGCCACTAGCTGGCTAACTGACCCTGACCAAGCCATTTTACCTTTTTGAACCTCATCAGGCTAAATCATCTTTACCTTGCCTACTTCGTTCAACGAATAGTTACTGTGTGATCACCCAAACTGTGAAATGCTGCATAAACACATTTATAATTATCATTACAGGCATACCTTGGAGATATTGCAGATTTGGTTCCAGACCACCGCAATACAGAGACTATCACAATAAAGCAAGTCACACAAAGCTTTTTCCAGTGCATGGAAAAGTTGTATACACTATACTGACGTCCACGAAGTGTGCAACAGTATATTGTGTTAAAAAAAAAACAGCAACAACAACAAAAATACATACCTTAACTAAAAAATACTTTATTGCTAAAAAAATGCTAACCATCATCGGACCCTGCAGCGAGTCTTAACCTTTTTGCAGGCGGAGGGTCCTGCCTGGAAGTTGATGGCTGCTGACTAAGCAGGGTGGTGGCTGCCAAAGTCTGGGGCGGTCGTAGCAATTTCTTAAAATGAGTGAACAGTGAGGCTTGCTGCTTGGATCGGCTCTTCCTTTCGCGAAGGATCTCTCTGTAGCACGCGATGCTGCTGGACAGCATTTTACCCACAGCGGAACTTCTTTCAAAATTGGAGTCAATCCTCTCAAACCCTGCCGCCGCCTTGTCCACTAAGTTTACGTAATATTCCAGATCCTTTGTCGTCATCTCAACGACCTTCACCGTGTCTTCCCCGGGAGCGGCTTCCACCTCAAGGAGCCACTTTCTCTGTTGGTCCATGAGAAGCAGCTCCTCGTCCGTTAGGACACCGGCGGCTCCGCCCGCAGCTTTTGTGTCGGGGAAGCGGCTCCTCTCCTTAAACCTCTTGAACCAGCCTCTGCTGGCTTCGAACTTCTCCTCGGCGGCCCCCGCCCCTCGCTGGGCCTTCATGGAATTGAAAAGCGTGAGGGCCTTGCTCTGGATCAGGCTCTGGCTCAAGGGGATGTTGTGGCTGGCCTGGTCTTCTATCCAGACCACCAGGACCTTCTCCATGTCGGCGATGAGGCTGTTGCGCTTGCGGATCATGCGTGTGCTGAGCGGGGTGGCGCTCTGCATCTCCCGCAGGAACTTCTCCTTGGCGTTCACCACCTGGCTCACCGTCTGGCGCAGGAGCCCGAGCTTCCGGCCTATCTCCGCTTTGGACAAGCCTTCCTCGCTGAGCCTGATCATCTCCAGCTTCTGATTTAAAGTGAGAGAAGTGCGACTCTTCCTCTCACCCGGACACTTGGAGGCCATCGCAGGCTCACCAGCCGGCCGGTGGGCCCCGTGTCACTGCGGCTGGAAGTCAGGAAGCAGGAGGCCGAGAGGAGCGGGAAAGGCCTGCGGTGGAGCAGTCAGAACACGAGCGTGTCACCTAGTGAGTTCGAAGTTGGTGGCCTTGTGTGAGTGTCATGCTCAGCGCCCCGAAATAATTCCAACCGTAACGTTGACGATCACTGATCACAGATCACCATAACAAATATAGCAATAGCGGGAAAGTTTAAAATATTGCGAGTTAACCAAAACGTGACACGCAGACACAATGTGAGCAAAGGCTGTTAGGAAAAAAAAAAAAAAAAAAGGCGCTGACAGACTCGCTCTTTGAAGGGTTGCCAGAAACTTTCAAGCTGTAAAAACAAACAACAACAAAAAAAACCCGCAATATCTGCGGAGCGCAATAAAGCAACGCAGCGCAACAAAACGAGGTATATCCTAAGGGCGACCGCGATTACCCTTCAGACAGGTCCCACCGCTCGGCTCCGCTCCGAGCCCCGGACCCCGCCTCCCGCCCGTCCGCGCAGAGGCGAGGTCCCGCGGTGTCCCAGTCTCCGGCGCCCAGGTCCCCAAAGCAGAGGCGGCCGCCGGCGCCGGGGCGGAAGGAAGTGCCCCGAAAGGTGGGCAGCCCCAGGCAAAGTTTAGCTGCCGGGCGGCCCGAGGCTCCGCGAAGGAGCCACCACCACACGGAGTTGGCCGAAGTCGCTCTTTCCCGGCTGCCCCTGCGCCCGCCCGGACGGCGGCTCGCGGAGGCCACACTTAGGCGCCCCGAAGCGGCGCGCGCCGGGAGCCTACCTCGCGGAGGAAGGGGGCCCCGGGTCTGCGGCGGGCGGCGGAGCACCTGCGGGATGGAGCGCGAGCCCGGCGGCGGCGGCGGCGGCGGCGGCGGCGGCCTCTTCTTCCGCGGCCTCCAGAGCCGCTCCCGCGAGAAGGTGAAGCTGCGGAAGAGAAAGTCGGCCTTGTACCTCCGCCCGCAGGAGGGCTCCGGGCGCCGCGGTGAGTGAGGGGTGAGGCGGGAGGCGGGGGCGGGGGTGGAGGCGGGAAGGAGGCCTCGGAGCGCGGGCTCCCCCTGCTGGGGGCGGGGGGCGGGAACCCTGGTGCACGCCGTGCGGGGTTCGCCCTCCCGGCTGCCCGCACTGGCGGTCGCACCGGACGGACTGCGGCGTTGCACGCCGCCCTCCCCGCCCTGGGAGTGCAGAGGTCCGGTGGGGCCAGCCTGTCCGAGAGAGGGAGCCCCGGCCTCCGCAGCGGCGAGGGGCTGGCTCCTGGAGAGCGACCAGGTCCCACCCGCCTTATTTCATTTACCCGCTTGGTCTGCTCTTGGGCCAGGATGAGATGGCAGGAAAGATCACACACACACCCCAGCAAGTTTGGCAGGGGGGCGGGGAGTAACATAACGATGGACTTCTCATTCATTCAGGGCACTAAATTCAAATTTAAAAAATATATACTCTGTCCGTGGCCCGTGTGGCTTCCACCCGTACTGTGAAAGGTGGGTTTGATTCCCGTCAGGGCACAGACTCTGATTGCGGTTCCATCCCCTTGGGTGGGTGAGGGGTCAGGGGTGTGTAAGGGAAGCAACCAAGCGAGGTTTCTCTCGCATATTTATACACACACATCTCTTTCCCTCTCCCTCCCTCACTCTTTAAAATCATGAACATAACCTCTGGTGAGGATTTAAAAAAAATTTTTTTTTTTACAGAAACCCTCTGTATTCAGCCTGTCTGCTGTCCATCAATGGTTAAGAGCAGGGTGTTGGAGTCAGCATACAGACCTGCTTTTGAATCCTGTTTAGTCATTTGCAACTTTTTTGCCTTTAGACAAGGCAATTTATTTCTGAGCCTCTGTTTTCTCATTTGTAAAATGGGCTGTATCTACATATAAGATAACCTAATCCACCGAAGGCCTTAGTTAACCCAGTCTCTTTTGCAGTATATTCTCCTTATACAGTAAGTTGTGGGAAAGATGGGTTAAATGAGAGGAGAGGTAAATCACCCAGTGGTGAGGCCCTTGTGTAACTCTCAGCCCAGGTCTGCTTTGAGAAGAGTGTGGAGGGGTCAGAGTTCTCCACTGTGCCTGAACGAGCCTAGGCAAGGGGCCAGCCAGAGCAGCAGATTGTAGTTGTGCAAGCAGAACTTGCCTGACTTTGGCACCACAATTACCTGTTTTGTTTTTCAGATCTTCTTGGTGAGAACATTTATCTGGTCTTGTTTACCATAGCGTTACGAATATGTAACTGCTTTTTAGTCCAGACAAGTTTTGTTCCAGATGAGTACTGGCAGTCTCTTGAAGTTGCACATCATATGGTTTTCAAATATCCTTTGTATTTTCTTGTCCATTTTAGAAATGTGTATTCAATTCATGTTGGTTATTGTGTTAGTTGCTATTATACATCTTCAATCAATCCTCTATATTTTCTCCAAATAATTTTATCAAAGTATGCTCTTATTTTATGCTAATATTTCATCTGTATATTTATCGATACTTGATGTTAATGTACATGTCTTAATCTTTAGCATATATTTCCAGTGCTCAGTACTGTGGAGAAAATATGTGAAATAAAAAACACATTCCTGCCTTGAAGAAGTTAAGAGTTTAGTTGGCCAATTGCATTTTTCACTTAAATATCTAGTGTAAAATGTCGTGTTTTTAAGCTGCTGTGTTAAAAAATAAAAGTTTTATATATGGAAGTGAAAATTGGTTTTGTTTCAGTGCCATTTAAAATTAGTCCTTAATATTACTACTTATGGTTATTTGACCTGGGAATGGACAGAAAGATTGAGGGGCTACACTTATCCCTTAATCTTTGCAAGCATTTACAAGATTCTGCATCTTTTGGGGAATGACAGTGTTCAGCTGCTGGTAAGTTTAAAAGTAATCAAAAAAGTTCCTAAATGTAGATTATTCCATCCTTTTTATTTATTAATGTATCTTGTGGAAAGGATTACAGTTGTTCCCTTTTCTCTCCCATTGACCCCTCCGCCTTGCCCTCCCATGCCATCCTTTTTTAAAGGTTAGGCTATAGTAACTGAATGGTGGTATTGGTATCATGAAGTTGGTCTTTAAAAGGCTATTCTGACCATATCTGGGAAGCATAAGGTTCCAAAGACATGCTGTGACTAATGTGGCTCTTCAATACACATTACAACGCAAGGCTGAGCATCAAAATGTCCTGCTGGGAGCAATCCTGTTAAGGTTTTCAGGATGATTACATTATATATTAATTATTTGGATCCTTCATAAAAGAGTCACTTGAGAGCAGGTTGTATCTTGTTTTTTTAACTTGTAAGCTGAAGACCATGTTATATGAGCTTATGAAGATTAAATACATATAAACACATAGTATTGAAATGAAAACTTAGACAATTTGACAAAAATTTAATGATTGTGCTAGATTGTATCAATAATTAGGCCTCAATAGTAAGGAGGGTTGTAATTCCTGGAACATGAATTTCTGGGGTTATTTGCCAGGAGAGGATACAAAGGAAGAACTAACAGAACACAAGTTCCTCTGACCTCACTGTCTAGGTCCTTTAAGCTGTCGTCAGGTTGTACTCAGCACTTTGGGTCTTCCCATTTTCTGTTAGAAAAGTACCCCCAGAATTCCAAAGGCAGTCCAAATCCTGAGGGGTTTTTAAGCCTGAAATACATTGAGGTTCTGGGATTAAAAAAAAAAAAAAAAATGGGAAGAATTATACTCTCCCCTTTGCAATGCTATTTGACTCTCCATTATTGAAAAAGGAGGAGCAGACTTATGCTTCTCACAGAACTTGCTGAGTGGCAGCAGAGTTTCACTGACACAGGCAGAACTTCGGAGCTATGAGTTCTCCTTTCTTCTCTCGGTGCCAACTGCTGGCCATGCAGGATCTCCATAAAGTCTGCAACCACATAATGTCACCATGGAAATCTATCTCAGGAGTAGGTTTTATTATCAATGAAGGGGTCTTCAAAAACCTTCCTGTTCCTCCCAGCTCTGCTCACTGAAGCTGGCCCACCTGGCCCATTTGTGGAAGAGGAAACCTCCCCTGGTCTCCATCCCCACCCACGCCAGCACCTCCCCCCAAAAAGCAGCTGGTAGATTCCAGATGGGGAACTTAGGATGCTATCATCAGTTATTCAGACTCTCATATTGATTATTTTAAGTAAAGGTGATATAATTTTGAACTAGAAGGGGTCAGAGAAGTGAAGCACATAGAGACCAGGGAGGCTGGGTTTGAATCCTGGCTTTCATACTAACTAGCTGTACAGCCTTGAGAAAATTACCTAACCTCTGTGTGTCTCAGTTTCCTCATTTATAAAACAGTATCAATTTCATAGGATTGTTAGGAAGACTGAATGAGCTGATACATATAAAATGTATGTAAACTTAAGCCCTAGCCAGTTTGGCTCAGTGGATAGAGCATTGGCCTGCCTGTGGACCAAAGGGTCCCTGGTTTGATCCCGGTCAAAGGCATGTACATATCTCGGTTGTAGGCTCCTCCCCAGCCTGGGCCCTGGTCGGGGCTTATGCAGGAGGCAACCGATCGATACGTTTCTCTCACATCAATGTTTCCTCTTTCTCCCACTCGCCTTAAAAATTAAAGAAAAAATATCCTCAGGTGAGGATTAACAAAAATTAAAATTAAAAAATTAAATATATACTTAATATGATACCTACTTAGCATATAGTACTGTATAAGGTTTATTAAAAATTACCTATTGTTATGCTAATGAAAATAACTAGATATACTTCTAAAATAGAACCTTAACACAATGAAATGGTTTGTTGGCTATTTAAATTAAAATTAGTGTGTGTGTGTGTGTGTGTGTGTGTGTGTAGTAATATCAGTAGTTGGATTAGCTTGTTGATTTCTTATGATAATTCAGTGTGAACCAACAGATGTTTTTAATTTCTTTTTTTTCTTTTTTTAACTAATGAAGATTTGGATTCCTAGACTTGCCCAAGCACTTCTGTCTGCGATAGCCGATTTGAGGCTTTACTCATTAATAAAGCAACTAGAAAATCAGCAACTAGCAAGATGGGTGGTAAGTTCTCAACACTTTAGAAACTATATGCCAGTTTTTCATTCCTATGAGCATAAACAATATCGATTCCCAAACCAGTTTCGAAAGATAATTCATACAATTTTATAGAGTTACTAACATAATTAAGAACAGTAAAATGCAAATGGCGCACCATCTCTCTTCTGATGGGGCTCTAGGTGGTGGGAGTCACTGAAGCCCTCAAACCCTGTGTGAGGGTGAACCTAGGATGTCTCCTCTGGAAGCACCGTCACTCCTCCCACTGTCAGAGTCCTTGCCTCGCTTTCCATGAAAGTCAGTAGGAATAGTTCTAAATCACTGCCTACCTCACAAGCTGCCTCAGCCTTTTACAACCCTGATCACTATTCCTCCAGCTACCTGACACTCAGCCTGAGAAATGCCTTTTCAGTAAAGCACTGGCCCACCTCTAACTAGTGTTTAAAACAGCTGGACTCTATAAGGGAGAGGATGTGGTGTAGAAGGCTGTCTTTTGTCATTTAGCTTATTTCACAGTGGGGAGATAGATTCTTGATCTCCCATTCAAACCTTGAATGGATTTTCCCATTTAAGCCATATCTTGAAGAGTAATCAGATACTGTAGTATTGTTGTTACTTTCCTGAATTTGACCCACCTAGAAATCTTACTACCTTTTTTTCATTGGAAAGTTTGTTCAAATTCCAAGGTGCCAATTTACCAACACATTTCTGGAATAGAATCTATATCTATAAAAGGCTAATATGCGAAGTGTCCAACCATCCAACTGGTCGCTGTGATGCGCACTGACCACCAGGGGACATATGCTCAACACCGGAGCTGCCATAATGCGCACTGGCACTGTGGATCTGGTGCCCATAAAGCAACACTGGGCTTCCCCCAAGTGGGACACAGGCCCTGCCACCACTCTAGAGCAGCAGTCCACCAAATCGCAGCTGACGCTGCCAAGGCCCCATGGCACAAAATGCAGCCCCTAGCCCAGCCCAGAAACGGTCACTGTGGGCAGTGGGTAATGATGTCACTTAGCAGTGCCCAGCTTTCTCTCCCTAGTGACAAGTCTCCTTGCAATTTCTTCAGCCCAGGAACACGACTTGCTTTATAGCCAGGTGCAAACATTTCACTCTGTAACCAAATATCTGTGAAGCATTCTCCCATGCCTTATCTCATTTGATCCTCACAGAAGTCCTGGAGTAGGTAGATAGGAGATTGGGTGGAATTCTATTTTCTTTTCATTAGCTGGAAAATGGAGATTTTCAGGTTTTCTCACTGTGCAGAATATAGTCAAACACTGCTGCAGTTAAATATTTTACACTTTGTTCTCCCTGCGTGATCTACAATAATAATCTGCTTTGTGTTGATATTTACTGCTGTGTTGCTAACAATTATCTGAAAGAGAAGTTGAGGTGCTTTGCTGGGCTGGAAAAAGTTTAGCTAAATCAGAAAGCAGGTCTAATTAAGCAAGTTTTATATATATATATCGGGTCTAGTAATAATTAATGTCGTTTTTAAACATTCGTTTAAAATCTTGCTTGGCGTTGTCTTGTATTGACATAACCTTCAAACACGTGGTATCTACAGAACGTGTGAAGTGCAATTAACAAGTTTTGCTTGAAAAAGTTTGTGTTTAGTTTGGTTTTTGTTGCAAAACTCGGCCTAAGAAGATGGCGGATGAAGAGCATATTCGGCACTGCATGCTTTACGAGTTCCAATTAGGAAGAAAAGCAAGTGAGGCTGCAAAAAACATCTGTAGTGCTCTTGGTCAAGATGCAGTTAGCGCCAGAAAATGCCAGCGTTGGTTTGAGAAATTTCGCGAGGGAAATTTTTCGTTAGATGACAAGAGTGGTCGAGGCCGTGTGTCCAATTTTGATCAAGAAGCTCTTCAAGCTCTTTTGGTGCCAAATCCTCAAATTACCCAACAAGAGCTTGCGACAACTTTAAATTGTTCACAAAAAACAATTTCCAATCAATTGCGTGCACTTGGCAAAGTCCAAAAGTTTGGAAAATGGGTTGGTTCCTCATGAGTTGACCGACAACAATCGTAATCAAAGAGTCACAATTTGCAGTTCGCTCCTCTCTCGTCAAAACCGTTTGCCATTTTTAGAGCAAATTGTTACCGGAGATGAACAATGGGTGCTGTATGTTAATTTGAAAAGGCGGCCTCAATGGTTGGACAAAAATGAGGCTCCGCAGCCCACGCCAAAACCTGACTTGCATGCGAAAAAAGTGATGTTGTGTGTTTGGTGGAATTTTAAAGGAATTCTTCAATATGAACTTTTACCATCTACCCAAACCATTACAAGTGCAGTGTATAGTGCCCAATTGGAAAGGTTAGCCCAAGCTTTAAGAGAAAAAGAACCCGCGCTGATTAATCGGAAGGGCGTAATTCTTCACCACGATAACGCACGACCGCATACTGCAAGAATCACTGCTGAAAAACTGCGCCAGTTGGAATGGGAAGTTCTCCCTCAACCTGCATATTCTCCTGATATTGCCCCTTCCGATTACCATTTGTTTCGTTCTTTGCAAAACTTTCTTCTTGGAAAAAAATTTAATCATGAAGAATGCCTCAAAAATGCATTGACCGAATTTTTTGCATCAAAATCACAAGAATTTTACAACAGAGGGATTAAAATGCTTCCTGAGCGTTGGGCACAAGTAGTAGAAAACAACGGCAACTATATTGTTGATTAAATTTTGTTGTATTGTTTAAATAAATTCGATTTAAAAAAGTATTAGAAAACGACATTAATTATTACTAGACCTAATATATGGCTAAGTTGTCTTGTGCATACGCAATACATAAAAAGCTCTCACTGGCACCAATCACATGCGTGTGTTTCTATCTGTAATTGTCGATTGTGAATTTGGATATTTTATTGATTTTTTACAGAGAGGAAAGGATAGGGATAGAGAGCTAGAAATATCAATGAGAAACATCAACCAGCTGCCTCCTGTACACCCCCTATCGGGGTTGTGCCCGCAACCAATGTACATGTCCTTGACCGGAATCGAACCTGGGACCTTTCATTCCACAGACCGACGCTCTACCACTGAACCAAACCGGTTTCAGCTTTGGTTGACATTTCTATTATAAAGGGCGAATGGCTATATTAAAATATTTCTTCTAATTAATTTCCTTTCATTATACACGAATCCGTGCGCCAGGCCACTAGTTTATTATAATAAAGTATTAATAATATTAAGAATTTACTAAATATTAACAGAACATATTTCTTCAGGTAGCATGTTGATTTACATTAAAAAGACAAATTGGTTTAGCAAATAAGCCCTTGCTAACTGATTCCAGGATAAGGACAGTATCTATTTTGTGCCTTTATACACTACCAAAGGCTCAACCTAAAATGGCAAAGCCATCAGGCCTTTGAAATCCTTCCCCAAAAGTAGCAGCCGTTCTTCTAATTTAGGAAAGGCCTTTAACTCCACAAAAATTGGAAAAATTTTTTAAAGGCTTTATTTGAAAAGATAGGAAGTAGGTACATCTGTTTAACACCCTTGCATCAACTAACAAGCTTCTTTTAATAGAAGCTTGTAGACTTTATGTTGCTTCTGTTTGCATATTCTTTAAAAACTGATTTATATATTTAATCAATTTTCAAGTTAAAAGTTAATGATATCTCCTGACAGGTTTTTTCTCACCTATGTTTTCTTAATTTTTCAAGAAATAGGGCAACATTTCAAACCAAAATCAATAAAAACAGTCAATTTACTTGTCAGTATTATAAGACAATTTGAGGAATACTGATTAGGACAATATAGTTATGAATCTCAATTCTCTATAAATTATACCATCAAAGAATCTGTATTTTGTTTCTTTCATTAGTGAGAAGTGAGATTTAAATAAAATGCAGCGCCATAAAAATGTATTTGAGAGTGTAAACTTAACTTTAACAAATATAGATCTAATATCATAGACATGTATTTGATATTAATCCTTAGAAACAGTGTTTGGGCAGGTCTGCTTTTAACATTACTTCCCTTTTGATGTGATTTTTTTGCAGCATTTAGACTTGCTTGCTATTTTCCATAGAAGATAAAACTAACTTTTTTTTATTTCCCCCTGCATGTATGTTTGCTCATAATTGTTCTTAGTTTTTTTGCCAGTTATGCTCTTGGTTCACATGGTATTGCTGTACCAGAACTCTTACAAACACCATGGAAACTGTTCTCACTGTAATTGCTCTTTTCTACTACCCTTTGGAAGGTTCAAAGTCTATGAACAGGTGAGATATATTGCTGTGAATATACAAAATTCTAAAGCATGCTTTTGAAAAGATCTTAAATATCAACACATTGTAATGTCCAGTAGACCCCTAATGTTTATGAAGGTTATTAGACCCACAAATTTCCAGTTGATAACATTTATTGTAGCATGAAACAGAAATACTTAAACTGGTAATTAAGAAGAGGTTAATAAAAAGACTGTTTACAAAGATGTAGACAATATTTAGAAAAGTCAATGAGGGGATACCATAGTGCCCCAGGACTAGCCTCTTCAGGAAGTTTCTATTACCCCTTGGCCCCAAGGAGCAAGGAGAGGAAATGTTACAGAGCTGAAACTTTGAGAGGGCCTCAACAGGAGACAGGCACAGCCAGCTTTTAGCCATAGCAAGGAGAGAATAAAATATCCTGACTTAACTCTTCTGTCCTCCAATTAGCCAAAGCCAATTAAAAAGCAAAAGAGTCCATTGATAGAGTCCATACAGGTCAACCGCCCTGCACATGGAGTAGGTGAAGGGTGGAGAAAAACAGGTCTATTAGGGCAACTAGAAAATACATGGACCTAATTTGGGCATATGCACAGACACTAGGGAAGCAAATGCCAGCCAAGGGAACAACGTGACCAAAGGGATAAAACCATAAAGGGCTTCACTGTACTCTGGGCAGCTTGTCCAGAGTAGCTAATTTGTGGTAGGACGCACGGGAGAAGAGAAGAGTACGGGATGAAGCTGAAAAGGGACTGCCCTTTTCCAGAATGGGAACTTCATTTTATAGGTTGTAGAAAGCCCTGGGAGGCTCTTAAGAAGCAGGGCATAATCATTTCTGATTCAGAAAGAATTCTCTTGTAGTAGCTATATTTAGGATATAATGAAAGGGAGAAAGCCAGAATTTGAATCTGGTTAAGAAGCTGGTGTCCATTCTCATATTAAAAGGTGGTTGCAAGGATGACATTAAGCAAGATCATTTTTACATTAGACTCTTGACTGAAAGAATGGCATTCAGTTAAATTATCGATATGATAAGAACTCTATCACATGGCAAAAAGTGAAAATAAGGAAAACAGGCATCTTAGACTTGTGGCCAGGCCTAGCAGAAAATTACACAATATCTTAGCCACACAAATGAATTAGGTTATGTACAATGCAAGGTATTTTTGAGGAATGGGCTATTTTCTTGTGCCTTTATGGCCCAGCCTATGAATCCCTGTTTTAGGGATCTGTCATTTTGAGGCTTAGCCATTCTTTCTGTCTACTTGTATTTTACCAACTGCCCCATTTCCTGTGTATCTCACATTCACTTTGAGAGACTGATTCGGTTGTTAAATGTCATTGTCCTTATTTGGACATAGCTTTCACACTGGTCAGCCTTAGATTGGCTGCCTGATTCAGTCAGGAAAGGAGAGTCATGGGGTATAAACCACCACTAGATAAGCATTCGTTCCATGACAGGTACTATTCCTGGCTTGACAATAAATAAAAAATTTAAACCTCCTTTAAAAATGCAAGTATTATAAATGAAAGATTATTTAAGGGTGGTATGAGAATACCTCAGCATTGACTTCTATATTAAAGTGTACAGCATAGGACTTATTGCAAAGTAAGTGCTAAATAAGTATTAATCTACGATGACTATGAAAAGATTCCAGGCAAATGACAGGACTTGGTGTGAAATGGTGGCAGTGGGAATGGGAAAGAAACAAAGTGGATGTATAGATGAGAAGTTGCTATTTAAGGTGACTGAGAAACTGAGTGATACTATTAACTTACTACACACTGAACCTGTTTTAGGGAAGGTTATATCACAGTGTAAATAGCAGATAACTTCTAAACTCATTTCTAGTTGTCTTGACAATACATTTTCCTTGTCTACAGTGTCAAGTACTCATCCCTGGTGGCACTTGCCTTTATTATTCGCCCCACAGCAGTCATTCCATGGATACCTTTGCTCTTCAGACATTTCTGGCAAGCACAGAGAAAGCTTGATCTTATTCTACATCAGTTTTTACCTGTTGGGTAAGTATTGCTACAATCCATCTATTAATTTTAATAATATGAAAAATATATTTCAAATAAGATTTTACGTCTTTGAGTCAATTATTGTATCTTCTAATGTCAATGAGAATTGTCAGACCAAGGAAACAGAATATTTCCAAATTTATATTGTAACTAGAAGCCCAGTGCATGAAATTTGTGCACTGCGGGGAAAGGGGGGTTGGGTTTCCTCAGCCCAGCCTGCACCCTCTCCAATCTGGGATCCCTCAGGGGATGTCCAACTGCCGGTTTAGGCCCAATCACTGTGGGATTGGGCCTAAACCAGCAATCAAACATCCCTTTTATAATCCAGGACTGCTGGCTCCCAATCGCTCACCTGCCTGCCAGCCTGATCACCCCCTAACCACTCCCCTGCCAGCCTGATTGCCCCCAACTGCCCTCCCCTGCTGGCCCTGGTTGCCCCCAACTGCCCTCCCCTGCTGGCTTGGTCTCCCCTAACTGCCCTCCCCTGCAGGCCTTCCGCACCCCCCCCCCCCAACTGCTCTCCCTTCCCTGTAGACCCAGTCACCCCTAAGAGCCCTCTCCTGCCAGCCATTTTGTGACCACATGGGGGTGGCCATCTTGTGTGAGGGCATGATTGTCAATTTGCATATTACCTCTATTATATAGGATAAAGATATATTAAGATTCTGATTAAACATAAGTATTTTTATTTGCTTAAGCGAATAAGAATCTTTGCAATTTTTCTAATAATTTTCCTATACTTTATTTCCTAAATATTTCTCAAATACATTTTAGAGATACTTGATTCTTTTACATTCTTATAGGGCTGTGTGATTTATAATGGGCATTCTCATATTACCTCATGATTTTCAGAATTCTTAGATCTAGGCAATTGTAGTTGTTTTTATTTTGTAGAAGAAACACGGGCTTGGCAAATTAAAAATGCATTAGTCAGCACTAGCTGGTTTGGCTTAGGATACAGCATCAGCCTGTGGACTGAATATTAATCATCCTTTTTGTTTTTCAGATTTGTCACTTTGAGTTGGTCTCTGATAATTGATCGTATATTTTTTGGTCAAGTAAGTCAAATATATTAAACTATTTTTAGTCTAACCGTTTATTACACTAAAAGTTCAACCTGATTTTTAAATTCATGAATATTTGGGAACATTTAAATGATATGGATTAAATTTAAAAACTGCTAGCATATATCTTTGATTAAATTTGTTATGCTTTCTATATAACAGAATTGTGTATTCCTAATTGAAGTTCAAGAGAGTCCATTTTTTAAAGATATTTTTGTCAGGTTTATAGTAATAAAAGTTTGATTAAAATTATTTTAGTTGTCCTCAAGGTAATAATTCAAAATTCAAATTAACCAGATTATTTTTCAAGCATTTGGTTTGACATACTAATCTCACAACTGTAGGCTGTTTCTAAGTTACCTGTTTATAAGTCACTTATGGGCTCTGGAATCAGATTGCCACAGTTTGAAGCCTAGTGCCCTCAATTAGCCTTGTGAACTTGGACAAGCTATGTGAGCTTGGAAGCCAATCACCTTTCTTACCAGTTTCTTTATCTGGAAATAATTATGGTCCCGTAACACTGGAGGATTAAATGAGATACTGCATGTATAGAACTTACAATGGGGCCTGGCACAAGTGAGCACCAATGTTAGCTGTTGTTGCTGTCTATTGTCCGCTTTGTGCCATAATTCCACTTGTAATCTTTTCAAAGCTTTATTTATAGGTAATATGTGATGGAAGGTACTAGAATAAAATTTTTAATGTGGGTACCCCACATAGACGCTCCAATAAAAAATAAATTTTATAAAGTCTTTTTGTTGTTAATCCTCACCCAAGGATATTTTTCCATTGGTTATTAGAGTGGAAAGGGTGGGGAAGAGACACAGAGAGGAACATCGATGTGAGACATACAGGTTGGTTGCCTTCTGGACACGCCTGCCCTGGGCTAGGGACCGAACCTGCAACCAGGCACTGCCCTTCAGTCTGTGGGTCAATGCGCTGTCCACTGGCCAAACTGGCTAGGGTGATAAAAGTTATTTTTAAGTGTTCTCTTTAGTTCTAATTCTATGTAAAACTTACACTGTCAAAATTTGTATGTTTATTCAGACTTCCTTGAATCTCAGAAACCTAGTGTTTTACAAACCAACAAGGAACACACAAATACTTAGAACATAAAAAAAAAATGCTTTCATATGGTCATTAATCAAATTATTAGTGTAAACTATTCTTTGGTTTTTAGATCATTCCTGATTTAATGTCAAGATTCTGCCAGATACTCTAATGCCAAAGACTCAAACTTGGCACTAACACATTTCTGTTTCTCTTTTCTTCGACTATGCCAGTGGACTCTGGTTCAATATAATTTTTTGAAATTTAACGTGCTGCAGAATTTGGGGACATTTTATGGTTCTCATCCATGGCATTGGTACTTCAGTCAAGGATTTCCAGTTGTTTTGGGTACTCACCTACCCTTCTTTATCCATGGCTGCTTTCTAGCCCCAAAGAGGTACCGGATACTTTTGGTAACTGTGCTGTGGACACTTCTGATTTATAGGTAAGATTTTATTTATTCAAATAGTTAATTTTGATGATATTACCAAGGAATTAAATTCTTCAAGAATTAAACTGTTATCTTTTGGAGATCCATTAACTATTAGGATTTGGTAATTGGGATTATTTAGCAGAAAAGGTAGTAATTATTGTATGTTGGTACTTAGAATGAATACTTCTGATATGTATAGTTTACTTAAGAATTATGTTCAACTTTTAAGAAGCTGAACAAATTTCATTTGCTCTTAGAAATGACTAAAATTTTAAATATTAAAGGACCAGAAAAATATTTTAAAGTGAAAATGTATGCATCTTTCTTTCAAATTTGAGTAATGACTTGGATGAGTAATAGAAATCTCTTTTTTAGAATGTAATTGTACTTTAGACATTGACATTAAATGTTAGGATTACTTTTAACACATCACCTTATAACTAAAAAAAAACACACAAAACAAAACAAAAAAAACCAACAGATCCCTGAAGCATGAAATTCAGTCTCAGTACATAGAAGAACAGGTAATCTTAATTATATTTCATTTTAAATACATAAGGTTCTCAACGTATCATGTGAGAAAACATTATTATTTTTTTTATTATAGCATGTTGAGCCACAAAGAATTCAGGTTTATCTATCCCGTTTTACCATTCTGTATGGTGTTCTGTGGTAAGTATTTTTGTTCAATATAGAAAAAAAATACTTGAAGTAGATAAAAGATAAGCTCTCATTAAAGGTCATTACACTATAAAATATTTTCAACTAGGCTAAGAGAATTGCTTAATTGCAAAATAATTATATGACTTCAGTATTCTTTCTGCAGCCTAAATATCCCTTTTCCTGTGTCCTGTAAAGTGAGATAAGATCATAAGGACCCAATATCCAAATTATAAGGATCCAATATCATTCTGGTGGTGGTATTCCTGGCTGTTAGAAATCTCTCACTAAAAAAAAGTAATGGAATAATATATCTATTTTAGAATAGCTACTTTAAGTTTATAGTTAAACTAGTAAGTTTTTTGTTTCATAAATGAAAATATATTTATAGCCGTTGAAACTAGTTTTTAATGTTTTTGATATTTGAACACTCACTGTAATGCATATGTAATTTTATAAGTTATTCACACCTAATTTTTGTGGCCCTTTCTACATTTTTTTTCCAGTAGATTATTTGCAATTTTTTTTTACATGTGACTCCTAAAATTTTATATCATTCAGCTCTAGAAAACATGAATTTTCATATCGGTTGGCTTGGAAAAATTATAAATTGAAATTTTGCTAACTTTACACTTAATTCAGAATAAATGACTATTGATTTCCTTTAAATATTAATTACTAAAAATCACTGGACTGGAGAGGGATTAGATGAGTAATCAACAGGAACTAGAGACAGGGTAAAGCTAGGGAGTTAATACTGTCAATCTTTTTACTTAAAATGCTTTGTCATGGCTTTGAAACAATGCACTTACGTAATTTTGATAATTTTTTCTTACCATGAGTATTTTTATAATTAAAAATACACAGGGTTTTTATCAAATCACTCTCATCAGACAGTAAGCTAAGTACCTCAGCTCTTCTGTGCGCACTCGCTCTCCAGCGGGGCCACCTAGGGCTTGTTCACTCGGGGTAGGCAGGGCTCCAGGGAAAGGAACTGAGATGCAAGCATGGAACTGTTGCTTCCACCACATTCCCAAAGCCAGGGCATATTCTCGAGATGAGAAATAAACTTCAGGCTTGTGTAGGGATTGGACACAGGAAGAGGAATAATTGGAGCCATTTATCAATCTGCAATAATTTTCTTCTCTAATTTGAGTTTCCTTCAGTCCTATCCAAAAATGACTGAAGTCTAGAAAACATATCTTCTGTGATTGCCTCTGACCCTTGCTGACCTGTATAACCTTGTGCCTCAGTTTCCTTTCCTTAAAATAAATTTGCCACTCGTCTAATAGCCCTGAAATTCTAGGACTGAACGTGTCATTTGTGCTGGTGTTTCCAGCACCTGCTATTCATGCTGGGTTGGGTACCCGTTTCATGTTTTCACTAGAGTAGCCAGTGCAGACTTGCTTGTCTCTTATGAGGCCACTTTCTTTTTCCATATGCTGATTGTTTTTATCAAAATTACCTAAGTGCACTGTTTCAAAGCCATAACAAAGCACTAAAAAAAAAAAAAAAAAAAAAAAAAACCCTGCTTCTACTGCCCTCTTACCCATTTCCCCTCACCTGAGGCAATCACTTTTAGGTGGTTATTTTGTCATTTATCTCTAAATAAAGTGCTAATAACACCCTTAAAAATATTTGCTTTTGACTTTACCTCTTGACTTCTCTCTGTGGATGAAAATATAGCTTCTTTCCTTAGCAAAGTATAACATAAAATGTTTTACGCCTTCCTGATTGACCAGCACTCTCATTATGTTTTTGATGGTTCCAGGCCCATTCTCTTATATTATATATCCCTTTTTAGAATTAAACTACCCTTTGTTTTTCTCATCTGAACACTGAAATCAAGTTGACTTACCAAGGAGTATTTAAAAATGAAAGCATTAACTCAGAAATATCTGTAATTGGTAGAACTTGATAGAGATATTTTTCTAAACTTGAGTTTTCTAGTAATTCTTGCCAAAACATGGATGCATCCTTGCTACCCCTCAGTTTGATGAGATCAGTAATGTACAGCCCCAAACTTTCCCCATCCTCTTCATTACAATGACCCTCCTCAGTCATTAATGAAGAATGCAGATTAACACACTAAATATCCAAAGCTTAAAATGTGATTGTATCAAGATAAATTATAGGACAATCAACTGGGACATAAAAGATTTAGAACATTTTTTAAATAGTAGTCTGATGAGAGTGATTTAATAAGAATCCTGTGTACTTTTATATAAAAATACTCATAGTATAAAAAATGATAAACCATCAGGGTCATCATCATCTGGCCCCATTCCCCAGAGATAACTATCAATTTCATATAAATCCTTCCAGAAATTTTCTACATATCTACTTTTATTTATTTACTTTAAATATATCTTATTGATTTTTTACAGAGAGAAAGGGAGGATAGAGTTAGAAACATCAACAAGAGAGAAGCATCGATCAGCTGCCTCCTGCACACCACCCACAGGGGATATGCCCACAACCAAGGTACATGCCCTTGACTGGAATCGAACCCAGGACCTTTCAGTCCACAGGCCAACGCTCTGTCTACTGAGCCAAACCATTCAGGGCTACATACCTACTTTTAAATATTTTTGTAGGCTCAGATAACAGGAGAAAATTAAGTATTCTGGGATGCTGTTTAGCACTGAGTTAGCCACTATGTGAAATGAAGAGGCCTATATTTTGGCAGGTAATTCACAGGGTTCATACTATGTCCTTGTTCTCCTGGAAATTACATGAGGCTGGAAGATTTCTGTAACTGGCTTTATAGAACAGAAAGAAAACGTGTGTTCCCAGAATCTTCAGGTATTGGGAGCAGGGACTTATAGTTCAAGTTAGGTAGAGCTTACATTACAATGTGATGACTCGAATTTTGTGAAGCTAGCTCATTTTAGGGTGGATCCTTTTAGTGACATACAGATCCTTACCTGTATGTACAATTAAGTAGACTTATTCATGGTAGCTATTATGATCCTGTTAATTACCTCTTTTAAATATTAAAGAAGCCATACTGAGTCCCTATAATAAAACCATGAATTCTGAGCTCTTGTGACTCAGTCTAGCATTCAAGCTGGTATCTTTCCTCTTCTCCCTTTAGCAAGGTGATGGTTTGAAGACCCTCAGTCAGATTAGACTATTTTTTCTCTTCCTAATGCTTTATTATTTCTCCAAATATGGAAATACATTTCTCACTGAAAGTATCCATCATTCTATTTTATTGATTTTCTTACAGAGAGGAAGGGAGAGAGAGAGAGAGCTAGAAACATCGATGAGACAGAAACATCTACCAGCTGCCTCTTGCACACCCCCTACCAGGGATGTGCCCGCAACCAATGTACATGCCCTTGGCTGGAATCAAACCTGGGACCTTTCTGTCCGCAGACCGACGCTCTACCCCTGAGCCAAACCGGTTTCGGCAAGAATCCATCATTCTAAAGTGAGCTAGCCTCAGGAAATGAAAATCACCACCATGTAAGCATCACCTAACTTAGAAGATGCCCTTCAATACTTAAGCAGCTGTGAACACAAGCACATTATCTTCCTGCATTCGCACAGAATGCCATTTTTACCACCTTGTATTCTACTATGTACCAGTTGCCCAAGCTTCTGTATCCCAAGGCCATAATTTTTTGTAACATTTTTAATGATCATAGTGAACAAATTGTTACTGAGTGAACCACTTTAGAAGCCCATGGTATACTTATTTGAACATTCCTGAGAGCAAGTTAGGCTGTACACTTTAGTGTACCTTTCTGAAATTTGAGCCCACTAGGTAGAAAGCACTTCACTTTCAAGTTGTATTCATGAGTCTGCTCTTTCTGTGGCTGGAATTAAGATGGCAGAACTGGAATCCTAGTTACATTGTAATAGAGATAGTTCTAATTCTCATTGTTTTTTGGGAGGTTCCTCATTTTACCATTTCAAACATCTTACAAATGTTAGTTTTAAATGAAGGTTTGGGGTTCTTCACCTGGCTATGTTTTTTATCACCATTCTTCACAATGTTCTTTGGATAATCGAAGTTATTTCAAACAGTACTAGGTGAATGGATGTGACAGTCCAATTACTGAATGGAATAAACCAGAGGTAATGCTATCTAAAATATTCACAGAAGAACAAAATTGAGCATTGAAGGTTTCCTGCTCAAATTTTATTTTATCAGTTCTTCCTGGGCCAACTTTGTTAGTTGTAGTTAAATGGAAACAGCTCTAAATTAATATTATTCATGTTCAGGATAAGATAGCTGATGGAAAACAATGCCTTGGCCCCAGTGGAAATTAGTGCTAAAATTTTAGGCAGGTCATAGATTGGGTCCTGGATACCCAAATTCGAAAAGAACTATATTCTGTGAAGACAATGTATATAGAGTATGAAACCTAATATCAAGGAACTTAATAAAATTATTCTTTTGGCTCTAGCCGGTTTGCTCAGTTGATAGAGCATTGGCCTGCAGACTGAAGGGTCCCAGGTTTGATTCCAGTCAAGCGCACATCCAGTAGGGGGCATGCAGGAGGCAACCAATCAATGATTCTAATCATTGATGTTTCTATCTCTCCCTCCCTCTCCTTCCCTCTCTGAAATCAATATATTACAAAAAAAAATTATTCTTTTCTAGTATAAAGTCCTGTTGTTTGATAGTGTTTTCAACAGATTCTAATATGCTTATTATCAGGGACTGTTGCTAGAGGACTATGGGAGGGAGACGGGGACTTTTAATTTATCCTTGTTTTTTTCTGCCAGGTTTTTTTTTGTGGTTTTTGCCACATTTTTAAAAAAGGGAGGGGGGATTGGCCCACCCAGTGTAGTGTGGCTCAGTGGTTTAGGATAGACCTATGAACCAGACAGTTGCATTTCCCAGTCAGGGCACATTCCCAGAAAGGAGCATGCAGGAGGCAGCTGGTCAATGATTCTATTTATTTAGCAACTACTATGTATCAGGACAGGCACTGGACATACTTTTTTTTTTTCTTTTTTTTTTTACTAATACTTGAAAAAGGCACCATTATCCCATTTGCAGATGGAGAAACTAATGCTCAGCAAAGTAAAGCAACTTTTGCCAGAGTAAAAATTCAATTCTGGGTCTGTTGGACTCTCTGGCCATAATCTTCCCACTGTATTTCAATTCCTTTTTCTATAAGAAGGTTAAGACCAAGATCACAACAGACAATAATAGTGAATTGTCAATTATAAAGGTGACCTACTGGTTATACTAGTATACACCTTGTTTGTCCATGACAGCCTTACAGCTGTGCTACTTCTACAAAAGATTATAAAAGATGTCATATCTATCTTCATACAGGGTATTCACTAAACCACCTGAAAATGTGGAAGAAACCAGCTCTAAGTTTCCTGTTTTTATCAAATATGCTCCTTGCCCTCTATACTGGTTTAGTTCATCAACGAGGTACTCTTGATGTCATGACTCATATTCAAGAACTCGGTTACAACAATCTCAATAAATCTGAAGCTTCAGTATTTGTAATGATGCCTTGCCACTCTACTCCTTTTTATAGGTAATAAAAGTTTTTCCACTATATGCAATCATTAAGAAAATGAAACTACTTTAAAATTCCTTTCGGGTTCCAGAATTAGGAGTTTAAATTAATTGTTCACTGATCAAATGATTATAAAAAACTTGAAACTCCATATTTATTCACCAGATTTAAAAAAATATTTGTTATGTCAATGAAAATTATATAGTTTTTAACTTCAATATCCTTTTTTAAAAATTTAAACAATTTAGATTTAAGTGATCAGATTCAAATACAATATAAATTTTATATAGGTTATTTGCTGGTATTCTTAGTAAAGAAATTAAGAGTTATCTCTGACTTTATCACAAATCTTTGTGATACATCTTGTATTTATACAATTTTAATCTTAAAACACTGGATTCTAGTCCAGATTTACTGCTGGACGACTGTCCTAGTCTTAAACCAGTTTTTTTAAACTCTGGATATTAGTTGTCTCACCTGTCAAAGTTAAAGAAATTGGATTAAATTATATCCTAATACTTGAATTAGTGTTTCTGGGAATATAACAATAAAATTGTCTTAACTCTGCAGGACATTTAAAGACATCCATTTAGCCCAATGCGTGTTATTTTAGGAAAGTGTACTAGTTATTAATTACCTAATAGTACAAGGGCAAACAGCTTTTTTTGCAGGAAATTCTACACCTATTTAACTTAATCTGGCTTTAAATAATTTGAAGTTAATTTTCCATATGCAAAGTCAACTTATCAATGTTATCTTTTTAAGGTAGTTTATCATTTTTTAATACTCTACTTATGTCAATAATTTATAGACAATTTGGAAAATTAGGATTACCTAGCAAAAGTCCACATGTTAGATGTAAAGACCCAAATATCCCTTCAACTTTAGCTTCCCCTACTATATAAAGACGACTAAAGGTGAAAGAGGAACATTCACCCCCTTCCTGCTCACACTGCAGAGAACATGTGTTCTAAAGATAAGTTGCTTTCTATACATGGGTGCTGTGTTTGATGTCATCAAGTTCTCATCATAGGCTTTTTCAAAGTATACAATGCAGTAAAAAATAACAACTCTGATGTCTATTTTGGAATATAAGGCTGCCAGATGTTTCTGCTTTGCCCACTATCTCCAAAATTATGAGTCATAATGTATTAGGTCTTGTGTGAATTTACTTTGCATGCATTTCATATATAAAATAAACCTCTATTATATATTTATTTTTATTTGTCCTAAGGCAAAGTTATAAACATGCTTTTTGCATGATTCAAGAAATTAGAATTAACTTGTCATAATTCATCAATCCATCTTTTTATACATTCTCTAGTCTTTCTAGGCCACAGTAAAACCATTACTCATTTGGATGTTAATCAGTGAACATATATTGCTCTCTAATACAAACTCTTACTTATAAAGGTGTCATTGCACAGGTACATGGTGTGAAAATCATATTCTCCAACTTTGAGAAAACTGCATTAAAGGCCTGCTTCTTCACCTAAATTGGAACCCAATATAGATTCAGATTTCACATTTTGTTATGTAAACATGATATATCTTAAGAGCAATTTGAAAACTTTCATAATAACTTTCTTTTCATAGCCATGTCCACCACCCACTACCAATGAGATTTCTCCAATGTCCCCCAGACCTGACTGGAAAAAATCACTATCTTGATGAAGCAGATGTATTTTATCAAAATCCTTTAAGCTGGTTGTATAAAGAGTTTCACAACAATTCAACACTGCCTACTTACTTGATCATTTTCAACGTTTTGGAAGAGGTAAGGAAACATGAAAAAAGGGGAAAATAGTACTTTTATTTTACCTGAAGTTTAGTAAACACTCAGGGAATTAGACAACGTAATTTTTATGGTCCTTTTTAACACCTATAATTTTGTAATTGGTCTTTTCCCTAGACAAAATCAGCTCCAGTTCTATGTATATCAAGGCATATATATTACTTACCATGATTTAAAAAACTGCATTGTTTTATTAAGTTGTAGAGGCGCAAATCAGAATAAGTCATTCTAAAATTCTTGAAACAGTACTGAGCAAAATGTAGCCTTTATTTATGAAAACATTTATTTCTAGGAAATTAGTGCTTTCTTAATTTCAAGAAACTATGAGAGAACTGCTATTTTCTTCCACACTCACTTGCCAGAGGGTCGAACCGGAAGCCACATATACATCTATGAACGGAAGTTAAAAGAGAAACTCTATAGAAGATGAAATTCTGAACTGTTTTTATAACTTTCCCAAAGAAAAAGACACTCCTGGGTAAAAATACTCGGATGCTGCTTAAATACACTAGTAAACACTGGGTAAGATTCGTGGAACTAGCAAAACACCTCTGAACTGCTTTCCAAATATTACTACTGAGGAAATGTATGAAAATTATCACAAAGTATAAAATTGTCTATTAATACAATGCCCAGATTTTAAATAAAGACCTTTAGTTTTCCTCATGTTGTAGTTTTATTGTTTCTTCCACAATATTCAGATATGCAAGAAATTTCACAAGAGAACAAGTCAGCAAGCTCATAAGAAGGCAGCAAATTCTTCACAAGTCAGCGGGCTCTTGAACCCACAAAAAGACAAGAAGAGTAAGATTATAAAATGTTAAAGGAATTCCATCACAATGTACTTTTTTCAAGCTCCACTACAAATTTCACACAAATATCAGTGTTAATTACACTTTGTCATGTATGACTTGAGCTTGCTTTAAGCTCATACACTGAAAGGAAGTCTCATTTCATGCACAAAACCTGTTGCATGCCTGGCTTCCTTAACAGAACTATAGCTGAACATTTCCAGTGCCAAAAAATATGCAGCAAAGCTAAACAGGAAAATGCAGGTTAGTAAGCTTTTGCTTGATGCTTCTGAGTAATAATATAAAGTCATCAAATAGATACTTAGAAATGATAAAAAGACATTATCTTGATCCTTTCATCCTAGTTTCAACACAAACATTGTAGAAAGCATCCATATTTGCTGGTTTTCTAATTTAACTTAATCTTGATGATCAATATTTAGGATCAAAGGGTAACTGCCCCAATTCTATTTCGACATTTGCCATGTGTCTTCCATTAGTGCGATCATATTTATGCCATTTACCTTCCCTCTTATAAGGTTGTGGCTGAGGGTGCTTCTGCTCTTGTTTTCGATGCCTGGAGTTTTCAATATTTACCGTACGTTTCTTTTTATCTGGTCGACTGAAAGCAGTAAACACATTTTTTCATCTATGTTAGAGTTAAATTTATTTAAACAAAAAACAATTTAAATGTTTTTCTCCATTAATCTATTATCTGAACACTCTGAGAAAGGATGTTAAATTAAACTGAAGTATAATCATAGTATAATCATGCCAGAAAGATCCAGTCTACTTTTATCCTATAGAAGAAAAAACAAACACAAAACCCAGAAATGTGACAATAAAATAATGAGGTGTTTCCACTATTTTTCTTCCTTTCCTGAAGAAAATCAATCCCTCCCTATTGGCTTCATCCCTCAGCAGAAATGTTTATATACCACTTACAAAATAAAGTCCTTCTTTTTCTCTCTTACAGCTCAAGTTAACCTGTGTCTACATTTACTGGTTTCCTCTCTCTCTCTAATCAGGCTTCTGTCACAGTATCACTCAACCAGTCCATAATGCCACCAGGCTTCTGTCACTACTTCCTTGGAAATACTCCATAATGCCATCCACGGCTACCTAATTCCCCACCCAAGAAATCTAATCCTTTTTTTTAAAGAGTTTCACATACATACTCTTTTTATTAATACTTGAGATCTTTGGATGTCCGTGATCCCACTCTCTGTCTTGTCATTCTAAGCCTTCTTTTCCTACAACCCTCATATGTTGTGTGATAAATATTTCCAGCCTAGACTACACACACACAGTCTGGGCTAAACTAATGGCCAACTAATACTCTCCTTTGGATGTTAATAGGTTCCTCCGAGCACAACTCATTTCCAATTCCCCTTACCCAAAACCTTAAACCAGAAATCTGGAAATTTTTGCTTTCTACTTCACAAAAACCACCAATTTTACTCACTATGTATTACTCAAATATCTCCCCTTTCTGTTCATACCTGTATTATTTTAAAAACCACCTTAGCTCCATCCTTTCCAATAAATCCCACAGGCTATTGTCAGTGATCCAAAATGCCATAAAGCACATACTTTAGCATAAAATGTGGCTCTCAATGTAAGCTAAATATTGTCTTCTGTTCATACCCCAGCACCATCTTTCCTCCCTAAAGTGGCATGTCATCACATACCTATCTGCTTGGCAAATCCATTTCTCCTTCAAAGCCAGCTTTAAAAAGTTGAGTTCTAACTCTCAAAAGCTTGTGAGCTCCTTCACAGCAAGAATTTTTCATGTTTCCTCAAAGTAGCTTCACAATGCTTTACTCATTATAAGCACTAGATATTCATTGAATGACTAATGACACGAGTCAGTCTCATTATTTTAATGACACATTACTTTTATTCAGATATATAGGGTGTCCCCCAAAAATGTATGCATACTTTGAATGATTATAAAGGTGGTATTTATTAATATACAGTTCATTTTTTAAAAAATTAAAAGAATCTACAGAAATGAATAATGGTTTTGGTCAGTGCCTGTTTTTAAACCGATGACCATTCTGGTCCAGGCATTGCTGGGAAATTGAAGCAATGGAAAAGCAAACATCAAGAATCATTTTGTTCGCTATTTGTGTGCCCTCAATTCATCTGTTTTGTGCCGCAAACTTCATCTTTTATGTATCCTCATAAAAAAGTTTAATTTTCTTTGTTCAAAGCTTAATCTGCCTAAAAAGAAAGAAACATCAACTATCATGAGCTATCAGCTGTTAAAGTATGTATACATGTTTTGGGGACACTCTGTATAACTCTCTCATGTAAAAAATATAGCTAACATTTGAAGATTAGTCAAATTTCATATTACTGAATATAAAGGTGATAAGTAAAGACAGTTATTTTTAGAAGTTATGTTCAAAGCACACACATAGAACTTGTGGCTTATCAAGTTTGCCTCTTTAATCATATCACTACAATAATTCTGTAATAAGTGAATTAAATATTGTAATTAAGTTGACAAATGGGATAGACAAATGAAAATAAGTGGGACATCCAAATCATTGTATGTGAGCCCTTCTGACTTCAGAATTTAATTTGAATTCTTCACTCCTAGCTCCCCAAAAATGAGTAAATAAAATATTAAAGGAAAATTTCACTTAAGGTGATTAGCTTTTCATATAGATTAAAATGAAAACAAAATAAGCTAATGAAACTATTTGCTTAAGTCAAGCTGATTATATGAAATTTTCTGACTGTTATAGCTATTAACTTGAAATTATATCTTTCCATTTAATTTATCCTAAATTCTGACATTAAAGTACTCTTACAAATAGCACTATTTTTTTAAAGTACTTTATAATAACATCCAAGAAACTTATCAAATAAAATGCTATCCAATCTACAAATGTTAAAAACTATTATAACAACATGGTGCTATGTAAACCGACCTGGGTCCATATGGAGGGGAAAAAGTGTGACCAAAGAAGTGTCTATATATATATCCATCCAACTTCTCAAACACTCCATCATTATCTACTTGATATTCCTTCATGTCTTTAAGATAATCTTTAACATCATTAACAAAGTCAGTGAAGAGCTTCTGATCATGTATAAAGATACCATGTATGAAAAACTTATCGATGAATTGATCAAGTTCTTTCCAGTGATGAAAACTATCCAATTTTTCTAATAAGTACCTTTCAACTAACTGTCTAAATTCATCTATCCTTACAGGATTGGACACTTTCATATTAAAAAGGTTAATGGATTCCTGTTGAGCACATTCAAATACACCAGAACAAGACTTTCTGAAAGAATTATAACTTTCACTACAGCCATGTTCAGCACTGCATTTTTGTGAATTTGTATTTTTCCCAAATTCTTCAAAATGAACTGGCTTTTCTTTCCTTCCCTCTCTTTGCATGGCAGGGCCTCTATTCTGGTTTTGTGTACGTGCCTTATACAGTGGATGTAAGTATTCACTAAAAACTGTTGGTTTTTTAGCTGTTCCTTCTTTTGTACCACCAAATCTTTTATTGCCCTTTTCATCAAAGATATTCTTGGTGGTATCTTTGAAATGTCGGAAAGTAGATTTAACTGAATCTGAGAATTTTTTCAGATTTTCTTTTACAGCTTCTTTAGCCTGCTTAATTTTTTCTTTATGGTGCCTCACAAACTCTTTGGTAGAATTCTTCATGGCATCAAATGTTTCCTTAACTGAACCCAAAAATGTTTCTTTTGACTTATTTTTGGCCCTGTAGTTTCCTCTGCCCCCTTTCTTTTTTCCATCAGTTTCTTGTTTTCCATTTTGATCTTTTGCCTCAACATATAGCCTTTCCCACAAATCAGAACGTTGCTGTTCAAAGGTTAGCTTCCGTTCCAGCTCCGTGAGTCTTTCCCGTAAGATTTCTACTTCCTTTTTATCTGTCAGTACATTGGGAGAATCTGGGTTGCCATCTGACTGGCTAGAGCTTAATTGCTGAAGTTCCACTCTTAAAGCCATGGTTTTTAGTCGTTCTCTCTCCAGTTCCCTCCTTAGCATTTTTGCTTCTGCCAACAGAGTCTCCCTTTGATTAAGGATGCTGCGTGTTTTCTGCTTTTCTTCTTTCAAATACTGCTTAAGTTTTTGGTTTTCAGTACCTAATTCAGTACTTGTCCCTTTATCTTCCAATATCCTAATCTGTTCTCTTAGTTTCCTTAACTCTTCTTGTAGTGAAGACAATGCTTTTTCTTCCTTCTCCAAAGATATTCTTAAATACTGATTTTCTGTATCAAGGCTCTTTTTTTGAGTTTCAAAGGACATCTTCTCTGCTTCAGTCAGGGTCCAACACTTTGCAAGGTTCTCCTTCAATGACTAAATTTTTGTAAAAGAGAAGAAAGAAAAATGGCAAGTGCTTTAAAAGCTGAATTTAAATCTTTAAGACGTAATTTTTAAAATCTTTATTGTTGAGAGTATTGCAGATTCCCCCCCTGTTCCCCTATTTGCCCCTCTCCACCTAGATCCTGCCTCACCCCAGACCTTCACCACCCTATTGTCTGTGTCCATGTGTTCCCCATAGTCATCTGAAATCCTTACTGGAGAAAAGGAAATAGGTTTCCTATCTGTTGGCTACAGGATTCTTATCTCTCATGAGAAAACTCCTGGAGAGAATGTAGGAAGGACTAAAGTCTTCTGTGATCCTTGTGTGAGGAAGATTATTTTTCATAAAAAAGTTAAAGCGAAAGATTACTTCACGCTTCAAAAAATTCTCTTTATATATATGCTGCACTCTCAGAAGGAAAAATAATTCAATAATCTTTATCCTATTTGAAACACTCTAGTCCTATGCAAATTAACATCTCTAGGTTCTGATAAATCATATTATTTCTCTTGCCCTTAAAAGTACAGAATGAATCTTGGTAACATTTATATAACTAATTCTCCCAAATTCAAATAATCAGAAAAAACTAATCAGATTAACTATATAATTCCAAGGTCAGCATCCTTGATTTAAAAAAATTCAGCCGAAACCGGTTTGGCTCAGTGGTAGAGCGTCGGTCTGCGGACTGAAGAGTCCCGGGTTCGATTCCGGTCAAGGGCATGTATGTTGGTTGCTGGCACATCCCCGATAGGGGGTGTGCAAGAGGCAGCTGGTCGATGTTTCTCTCTCATCAACGTTTCTAGCTCTCTATCTTTATCCCTTCCTCTCTGTAAGAAATCAATAAAATATATTTTTTTAAAATAATAAAAAAAAAATAAAAATAAAAAAATTCATGTTCACCCGGCCAGCGTAGGTCAGTGCTTCAGTGTCAACCTGGGAACCAGAAGGCCATGGTTCGATTCCCAGTTGTGGGCTGGATCCCCAGTGTGGGGCATGCAGGAGGCAGCCAATCAGTGGTTCTCTCTCATCACTGATGTTTCTCTCTCTCTCACCCTCTTCTTCCTTCCTCTCTGATATTTATGAGAATGACAGTATTTTCTACTTGAAAAATAACTACCTGAAATGGATATTTCACTGTCTGGCTTATGAATCTTCAGAGAACAAATTAAAATTTAAAGCTTCATTAGTCATATCTTTAAATGCACAGGCAGAGGCAGCCACAGAAGGACTAGAGGGCACAACATTCCTTATCCAGTTAACTGTATATTCTTGAATTAAGTGCTTGGTAAGCAGATCCTCAGCAAGTCCTCCATGAAGATCTTCAAAAATTCAAACCGCATTTAACAGCTGGAGAAAGCTCTACAAGCAGCAGCTCGGTAAAGATTTATGCAGGGCAGGTCTCCTAAAGCCAGTGGCCTAGGGAACCAAAAACCATGATAATGAAGAAAATGGCTCCTCTTGAAAATATCCTCTGACCAAGGTAGGGAAAACTACACTATTTACAATTAACTTTAGTAGTCCTTCCCTGAAATATATAATTCAGATGTCAGGTGGGATTCTGTCTTCCAAAGAAATATAACCAGAACCTTTTATGGGATACCTACATAAATTAAGTATAAAGGAAATTTGGGGAAATTGAAAAAAAAAATGGAACAGTTTATTTTCCTAACCTGATTTTATCTATAATCCCTATAGCCTTCCCAGGGAAGAACTAAACAGGAGACCCGTTATTCTGCTGGTCCTCATAAACCCACAAATGTGTTAGGTAACTGGACAAAATGAACAGCACAATCCTGCTGGAGTTAGGTAAGTTTTAGGAAAATATGCTCTCTCTCCCATCAGAACAAACAAGAAATCTTACAGGGAAAAAAAACTGGCTGATTATTTTCCTTGATCGAGGGAAGGGCTTAAGATACAAATACTCCTCTTTCTCATTAAATGAAAATGTTTTGCTCAGCTCTGTAAAAATAAAGTTAATAATAATGTTTTATATATAATATAAATTTAAAATAGGTTAATTATAAGTGATCAGGACTAATATCTTTGAAGTCAGAATTAAATTAAGCTCTGCCAGTTGCTAGCCTTGGGAAAATTACTTAGCTTTTTTTAATCTCTTTCCAGTCTTTGAAATGAATCTAAAACTTGCTTAATTTGCAGGATAGTGATGAAAAATACTGTATGTGAGGTACTCACAAAAGTGACAAGGACAGAAAAAGTATTCAATCGACAATTACTAATATTACTGATTTTCCAATCTATACAATATCTATATCTGAATAGCATATTAATTATGGGCTAACAATTTTTATAAAATGTACTAGAGGCCTGGTGCACAAATTCATGCACTGATGGGGTCCAGCTGGCCTGCTCCAGATGGGGGCCATTGGGGTTGGGCTGTTTGGGGCAAGGGACTGATCAAGGCAGCACTGGGGTGCCTGCTGGGAGGCGGGGCTGGCCAAATCGAGGGGCCGCAGGCATTCTGGTCAGTCTGCTGTTCGGTCTATTTGCATGTCACCCTTTTATTAAATAGGAACAGTAGTACACACCTTATAATCTGTAACAGAGACTTGTTTCTGGTCACATTGGGAAAGATAGTCCATATCAATCAATTCATCTTCATGTATCTTTCTGACTAACTGTTGACGTTTCTGAATCTGAAATGTGCCTAAAAATGAACATTTTATTAGAGATTTATAACATGTTATGATTGCCAATATTTTGAAACGTAATAAAACATTTAATCTGCATATGTTTACTAATATAGGATTATTTCCTTCAAAATAACAGCATTTCAGTTCTACAAACATTCTCATTATATAATAAACAAAGAATGAATAAGTAGAATCTCATGCTCTCATTCATCAAATGGTGGTAGATGAATGTTAATATAACAGATCAAGCCAAATAGGTTAATTTTTTTTTGTTTTATTATACCAGGTACATTTAAGTGGTTCACAATCCTTTTGATTAAAACAAGCTGCTCACATTATCCTAACAAAGAAAACAACTTATTTAATGTTTTTATCTTACTCTATAGTGGCACTCAGGTCTGGTTGTGGGGATTTTTTTAATAATGAAAAGTCACAATTTTGCTACTGAGTGTCACATGTTGTGCTTTGACTCATAGCTAATGAAAGTGTGTGAAGATTCCCACTGGGGCACTGCACAAAATATGGAATGCTTCACGAATTTGAGTGTCATCTTTGCATAAGGCCATGATAATCTCTGGATTGTTCCAATTTTAGTATATATGCTGCCAAAGTGAGCACTCAGGCCTGTTGGTTTTGAGGGATTTCTGAAATACATCAATTATTGCATCCCCCATAAAGAGAAAGAAAGCATGAAGTCTATTCAAAAGTTACAAGAAAAAACAAAAATTTCTATATTCTTCCTAAATAATACAGCACAAACCCAAAAGGTGAAAAGGAAAAGAATTGGCTTTGATTATCCACCATTCTCAAAGCCCAAATCTTTTAAAACTGCATTGGTTAGGTCTGTACTGAAGTACCACCGTCCCTATCCCAGCAGTCATAAAGGGATCTTAAACCAACTAGGATGCTATCTATTTTTACCTTAAAATATAAAATGTTTATTTGCTAAGGCATGCCTTTTCACATGCTGCTACATGCTTCATGCATGAGGAAAAAAAACACACCAGGAAATGAAAAATAAGGCAAAACGCGCTTGTCAGTATTACGTCTACTGAGTGTCATAGCATTATGTAAAGATATCACAGAGTTTTGTAATGTAAGGATGTAATGACAGTTTAGTATTTCTTCTCCTACTGCTAAAAAAATTAATTTTAGTTTCTTCAATACATCTTGAAAAAAGCTAAAAACTTTTGCCAAATTAGACAACTGTTACCAATTAATAGCTGATACTCTGTTAGGATTCACGTCCTTTAAACTTTCTAATTTATAAAAGCATAGCAAATTTGTTTAAGTATTACTCAAAAGAATCTGATTTTTAAAATTGTTGAAATAAATACATCTGTAATTCCCAGAGTGACTGAAAAATCTTTGTTTTCAAACTTCTAATAGGATGAATTCCCTTGATCACTGGAAAATAACCTAAAACTGTGTATTGATATGTGATTTGACAGTACTATTACATAGCATATGTTTGATGACTGTCTTTATGTGGCCTTTTTCAACCTATTAGGTTTCCCCCCCCCCCCCCCTCCCAAAAGTGAGGTAGCAGCCACTCCCTGAAGTTTTGGTCCTCCCCACCATATATACACATCTTCTATGAAGTGTTACTGCTCACAGTATAATCTTTGGACTTCTGGTACAAGCCTATTTATCTTAACTTTCTTAACTCCCTGTCCGTTTTTGCTGTCACTGCTGTTAAGACTTCTCTACCAATCCCACAGACATATCAGCTGCCTGTTGGGCACAATTTTGGGGACAACTTCATAAAAATAAAATAAAGTAAAGCTTTAACTGCTGCCCTAAACCATTCTAAAGTTGGGTAAAAACAAACCAAAGTGGCTCACCATCTATTTATTTACCATCTAATAAAACTGTTCCCCATTAACACCCCCACCTCCAAAAGTAAAGCAGCTAGCATATTTATTGGAACTTAAAAAACAAACCACCAATATCTCCATTACCCCAGCTCAAAGTTCTCTCTTCCATTATTAGTTCAATCTCCCTTATTTCACCAACCTTTTCTCCAGATGCACTATCATTACAATTAAGGCCCTGGTCACTGAATATCTAAATTACAAAACTTCCCGAATGACTGTTCTAATTTTCCTCATACCATTTTTCTTTTTCTCTAAAATTATTGCCATCAGGTCACTCTATAAATCAAACTCTCCTACCAAATTCCAAGACATTTTACAATATAACAGCATCCCACAAAGTCCAACCTTATACTCCATTATTTCTAAATATCAATTCTGCTCTAGTCCAGACAGTCTTCTCACTGCTCACAAACCTGGCAAGTTTACTTTCAAGTTATCAGACTCTCCATTGAAGGAATGTTCCACTTTCCTTCCACCTCCATAAGCATAATAAGACAAAACACACCTAAAACCCTACCGTCTCTAGGATGACTCAGTTAAGTGTAGCCTTTGAGTTATAAATTACATCTGTTCTAGTAATGTGGCACCTACTTATATTCTGTTACGCTGCTGTCCAAGCGCTGGGCAGCCTACCAATACTTAAAGCAACTTCATGAGAAAACTGAATCAACTGACCTTCACTAACAATTTAGAATATGGATAGTTTGTGAACAAAGAAAAGTAAGGAAGATAGGTGCATCATACATGAAGACTTTTCTTTAAACTTCTGTAAGTAGTTTCAGAACCTTAAGCAGTCGCAAATACCTGTAAGTACATTACATTACTATCCTCAAACTAATTTTCTCTTCCTTCCATGATAGGTCTGAAACTCCAAAATTATATAGAGGCAAAGTTAGTACATGTTTTGAGTGGCTCTTAGTAGTATGTTTTTGTTAAGTGATTATAAAGAAACCCAGCTGGTGTGGCTCAGTGCTTGAGTGTCAATTTATGAACCAGGAGGTCATGGTTCCTTCCAGATTATGTGCTCAATCCCCAGTAGGGGGCATGCAGGAGGCAGCTGATTAATAATTCTCTTTCATTATTGTTTTTATCTCTCTATCTTCCTCTCTGTGATATCAATAAAAATAGATTTTAAAAAATGATTATAAAGAAAACGATTACGGTGTACAACAACTGACTTCAAGGTGCATGAGAAATTCAAACTGGCTCTGAAGTCAACCCTAAAGAGCTCAAAGTGTTGAGATCAGTGACAGAATTTTTTAAAAATATGATGTACTTTAGTGATCTTAAAAAATAATTATTCAGGTAAGTTTTTGTATGTTCATTGAGCCAGTCTTATTACTATATAAATCTTCATATTATGTTACTCAGTCTTTTCATATTCTGAAAAGTTAATTTCAAGAAGTACAGGAAAATGTTTTAGTAAATATAATTATCAAAGTAAATTTTACAAATGACCAAAATCCTAAATAATGGCAATAATTTCTCAATTTTGAAAGCACTCCTCTCTAAATTGGTCTTTCTATTAATACAAAATACTTAAAAGTTCATGCAATTGGTGAGGTTTTAATGGAATCTGGATTAATGTTAAATTACTAATTTTATTTTTAGTAGGAAAAAAGATTAAGATAAGACCTTCTCCTTTGTTACCTCCAGGTTTACCTGTGGGGGGAAAAAATCATGCTCAAAAAATAAAATATTTTACACATTTGCTCCAGTTAGATAATAAAAAAGTTAAGTCAAATCCCATCACAACAAATTTCAAAGAAGGATAGTAATTATAGTATTTCAGTAATAAATTCAAGCAGGCGTGTATTTATTTTTATTATATAAAGTTAAATACAAAAAGAAACGTATTTTACTAACTCTGACTTAAAATTAAGTATTGACTATCTTCAGTAAGTTACCTAACTACGTTGTATTTTCCCCACAAATCAACATGGAGTATTTCTTCAAACTTTATATAAGGAACATATTGGTAGAAGGGACTAACAAAATGGAAATACTTCAGATAGTTAAAGTGTGGATTATGTAGTAAAAACAATCCTAAAAGTACCGTAGTTAATAGAAGGCAAACTGAAATTTGTTGACAAGATCTAAGACATTTGTTTTGATTCTAATATAGCAGAGTGTGACTGTTTAGTTCTTACTCTCAACTTTGTGCAAATACGTATTTCTATATATATATAAAAAGCCACTGACCATGCTGTTAATGACCGAATGACCTGTCGCTATGATGCCCACAGTGACCAGCGAACCAGCACGATTGGGGGCAGGGCCAGCCAGCCCTCCTCCTGCCCAGCCCCATCCCAGATCAGCCCCTCAACTCTGATCAGGGGCAGGGCCAGCCGGGGGGGAGGGACCACAGGCAGTTGGCTGGCTGGCCCTGCCTCAGATGGGCCCCCACCACCCCAATTGGGAGTTGGGGCCCACTGGCCAATCACTCTCTCCAGCCAGCCCAGCCCTGATAGGGCCACGATCAGGGCAGGCCAGCCAGCCAACTTCCCGCCTTCTCCTCCTCCCAACAGGCCAGCCTAAACTGCTCCAATTGGGGCCTGGCTAGCCAGACCCCACCCGTGCATGAATTCATGCACTGGGCCTCTAGTACCTTAAATAAGATTTCATGTTTGGCCTGACCAATGTTACTCAGTGGTTGGCATGAACCAAGAGGTCATGATTGGATTCCAGGTAGGGCACATGCCTGGGTTGTGGGCTAGATCACCAGTAGGGGGCATGCAGGAGGCAGCTGATCAGTGATTCTCTCTCATCACTGATGTTTCTCTCTCTCCCTCTTTCTTCCTCCCTCTGAAATCAATAAATTGCATATTAAAATATTAAGGAAAAAAAAAGATTTAATGATTGAGTTCCCAAATGAAAAATAACACCACATGGAAGTACTTCCTCTTTTTACCCAAGAGACTTCCACAGGCTTTTCATTAAGATAATCAATGTACACAAGCACTATCAAGATTAACAGTGAGCAGAGTATAATGCTAAACTACAAAACAACAAATGTTAACCTGTTAACCAAGCGGGGCGTATAAATACGTCAAACGTAAACAATATCGGGTACGGGTAGGACATATAAATACGTCCTTGAAATATATGTTGCACCCTGAAAGAGGTGGGACGTATATTTCCAAACAACAAAGGTATTAGTCATGCATACATGTCTCAACATGAATTTAAGACACGGAGGGAATCAGTATAATTTCGCTAGTGAGAGTGGTGGACGTGTTCAACAAGAATTATTTTGGAGTTAACACATGACTTACTGAATAAAGGGTATAGGATTTACTTAGATAATTTCTATAGGTCAATTCATTTGGCTGAACTCTTGTGTCAAAACAATACCGACATTGTTGGAACAATGAGGATAAACAGAATCGGAATCCCCAGTGAAATAAAAACAAAAAAATTACAGAAAAATGAACATATAGTAAGATTCAAAGACAAACTTATGGTTTTAAAATGGAAAGATAAAAAAGACATATTGATGCTCAGTTCTATTCATAATGACGAAAAGACAATGATTGAAAAAAGAGGAAGGAGGCAAGAAAAACAAAATGTTGTCATGGATTATAACAAGAATATGGGCGGCATAGATTTGGGAGATGGAGTTATGGTGGCCTATACGGCTGCCCGTAATAGGGTAAAAAAAAATTATTAAAAAAAAATTTCTACAATTAATTGATATGTGCTGCTTCAATGCATATATTATATACAAAAGAGATAAAGGTCATTTGGATCGATTACACTTTTTGATAGAGTGTGTAGAGAAATTAGTAGATAACAACATAGTGAAAACCCACCCAAAGACATCAACAAGCAGCTCTACATCTAAACCATCACGTTTAGTTGAAAGGCATTTTTCAGAACAAATGAAAAGCGATATAGGAAAAACTAAATCCAGGAAATGCCGAGTTTGCTACAAAAAAGGTGTTAGGAAAGAATCTACATTCTGGTGTCCAGATTGTAAGGTAGCACTATGTATCAACAATTGTTTTAAACCGTGTTTTTCAACCTTTTTTGGGCAAAGGCACACTTGTTTCATGAAAAAAATCACGAGGCACACCACCATTAGAAAATGTTAAAAAATTTAACTCTGTGCCTATATTGACTATATATAAAGTAATTCTCTTGAATAGGAATCAAATAAACACAAAGAAAGTATTTTATAATTACTTTATTATGAAATATTAAGTAAACAAAATAGTGAAAAATTATAAAATTCTTGTCTTGTCTGCACCTACGGCACACCAGGCAACATCTCGCAGCACACTAGTGTGCCATGGAACAGCGGTTGAAAAACGCTGTTTTAAAATATATCACACGGAAGTTGAGTTTTGAATTTTTACATCTATATTTTAAGTTTTTAAACTCAATATTTCTATTTTATTTGTGTGCTTTTGTTTATTGTTCTGTAATTGTTAACTTTTTTTATATTTTTATTGTGTATCGAAATAAAAAAAATATATTTTTTGTAATCTTTATAATTGTTTATAAAATTTATAATTTTTTAATTTGATGTTTCCATTTTTTTGTTGGTATTCTTTTCTATTTGTTTGTAATTTTGTATTTTCCTTTCTGCTTTATATATAAATAAACGAAAAAATATATATTTCATAGTCTTTCATTTATTTTAAGTATAAATAAAAAACAATAATAATATGAAATTACATCCTCCAGGTGTGACGTACTAACACGTCCTAGTGAAAGAGTACGCGCCCGTTTTATGTTGCGTAATTAAAAAGGGAATTCCCTGGTTAACAGGTTAACAAGGTAAGGGAAGGTGGGGGAAAGAGGGAAGAGATCAACCAAAGGACTTGTATGCATGCATGTAAGCCTAACCAATGGGCACAGACACCAGGGTGGGTGAGGTCATGAGTAGAGGGGGGGTAAAGGACAATGGGGGGATAAGGGCACATATGTAATACCTTAAACAATAAAGAAAATAACATTTAAAAAGAACAACATATAAAGCCTGAGTGAAACCTGAAGGAAAAAAAAACAAAACACAAAAAACCTGAAGGCAGAAATAATGAGCACCAATTCTTGTGACATTTCAATTGTAACTCTTTCAGCTGGGATTTAGATAATCCTCCAAATAAAGTCAGAGTTCAAACTACTTTAATTGTGGTTCTAAAATAAACTACCTCATTGTAAGCATTTCAGATTTTTAATCTTCTAATATTTTCCTTATTAAAAAAATACATGCCAATAATCCTTACATTTCTTAAATAAATACTGCTTCCTTTAAGTGAAAATAGCTTTGTCATTAAATATATGAGCTTTCCAAGGTCATATATTTAATTGACACTAAAACAGAGTTAAAATTGCTCACTCTTAGTAAGTTCCTCTACCTGAAGCCATCAGTTTATGTTTAACAAATTTTCAATTACTTACCATAGAAATGTCCAAATCCCATGCTGATTGCAATCACCAGAGCAAGTATAACACACTTATTGAGGCCACTACTGAAATGGCGTTTACCCAGCTCCGTAGAAGGTTCAGTTTCTTGGTCAGCGAGCAGTCGTTCTTCAGATTCTGAACTAGAAATAGTTTTCTTCCTAGCACGGCGGCGTCTAAAGGCTGGACTGGGATCATGGCTGGTTTCATCACTACTTGACTTGTCATCACTCGGCTGAGATGAAAATACTATTTAAAAAAGTAGATAAATATTAAAAATTTTATAAAAGGTTCCCTAGTATATATGATTTACAATAATCAAAGCCACCCCTACATGCTTTATTTTTACATAGGGCAGCCAAAAACAACACAACATGAACTCAAGTTTTCAAGTTTATCAACATAATCCCAAAACATAAAATATTTCAACTGTGACATACAAGAATCTGTTAATCATATTCTGTGCCTTTGAAGGTCTAGATGTTTTATTGTTAAACCTTATAGTTTATACCATCAGAACAATCATTCTCATAGTCTATTAAATTTGATAGTAGAGCTATAAACAAATACTATTTCTAGAATAAAATAAAATAAAAACCCTGTATCTCTTCAATTTCAATTTAAGGAACACAGGGACATATACAAGCAGTTCCTTGGGTGTTTTTCTACTGTAGCTTCACTTCCATTTTGAGTCCAAAATCAAGGTTCAGAGCACTCTAGTTAAACACAGACTTCCAGAAGTCAGATGAGCCCTTCCCTTCAACTGCCACTCTTACTAGAAGGCCATTAATTTCACCCTCTAGTAAATATGTCAGCATGAGGAAGTGACACAACAGCTATCTCTGAAATTAAGGAATAATCTGGTGCAGCTCCTTTATGAAAAAAATAGTAAACCATAACTTTTAAAATTCACAAGAAATCTCAAGTCCTGGAAACATACTAGTATACACCAAAAATTATCTTCAGTTTTTTCACATGTATAATTTATTAACACGGTTTCATATTATCAAAAAAATTGTATGTTGACAGAAAATTACATGACTTAAGAAATAATTCCCTCTAGCCAGTTAGAAAGAAAAAGAGCATTAAAAGTAAGGATAAGATGTGAGCTTGAACTTGATACACAGAGCTCCAAAACAACAAACATTCATGCTTTAAAAAAGCAAAACAGTTCTTCAGAAGGCAGGTTATCCATGCCACAGGAAAGCTGGTGACTTAAGTTAGGCAATACTTTTTAAAGAAGGATCATGGAGGGTTAACTTTCACATTTACAACGAAATACACGAAGAAAGAAGGCACTACTGAATGAATATTCCTAATATTTAGTGATACAGAAGCTACTGAGAGATCATGTTCATGACCCTTATGCCCATGTTTATCTGGTTATTCTTGACCACTAGTTTTTCCAAGATGCCGCCGCCTCAGGTGTGAGGTCACATTTCTTGGACAAAAAAAAAAAAAAAAAGAAAAAATAAAAGAAAGGAAGACTTAAATAAAGCATTACATAATACAAAGGCATTCATGATCATGGATGGAGTATTTTAAGTCAGACTTTCTGACAGTATTAAGATGAATCAATGTAAAAACAAACGTTTAGTCAAAATTCCTTTAATAAACTTTCAATTCTACATTAACATATTGACTTTATTATATATTCCAAGTAAACCAGCCTAACCGGTATTAATAAATTTACATCCTTATCTAATGCTTCCATCTTTTTAACCCATACATATGATAGCTGACATATTTTTACTTTTTAAGTCTTTTAAAGATTAATTTGGCCCACAGTCCAAGATGCAAGCAATGCAAAGGCATGCAGTAAGCTTAGCCAGCTTTATCACAAAATAAATTTGATCACCTACTTAGAGTATCATGGCTGACAATAGATATCTTTAAAGCACTACGTAAGTAGTAAATGTGACTAGGCACACTCAGCTCTAGAAAAGCTGACAGATTTAGTCACACCACCTTGGAAAGCGAGTTGGCTAGGAACATGGTGTTTCAGCTGATCAGCCCATCCCCTTATGCATTCAGGAATCTTCCACAGCTTCTCCCACCACCTTTCTTTTGTGAATAAACAGGAAAAAAGATGTATGAAGCTTTATTATAAAGAATAACAGGGAAAAAGAGAACTGAAAATACTCACTTAAATTATCACTTAACATTATTATTTGTGCTCCATCAAAAACTAACAATTATGCCTTTTTTAAAAACTTATACAATACTAACTTTTCTACAACTACCAACTTTGCTCTCATATGAAGACGGGAGTGTTCTTACATCAACAAAAGATAACTGTCACAAGAATTTAATTCAGAAGAAGAAAAAAACTGAAGTTGAAATCCAACACAGATGAAGAAAGGAAAAAAACAAGCAATGGGCAGGAGGAAATTAAACTGAGAAAAATATGGGATAAGGGAAAGAGAACAAAAACTCTGGGCAACTGATATATACTAGTATATGTAGTATTTTCAACACAGTCTGATGTAACTTTTTATTATTTTTAACATGTTCTTTATTGAAGTAATTCCTTTGGGAGGGATAGCAATTGATAGAAATACCTAATAAAATATACCTCTTAACTCAATCTATAAAATTCCAAAGTCCAAATTTAGAAAGTAGATTAAAACTAAAATAATGTGTTCTGAAGTGTCCAAGTATCTGAAAAAAAATAACAGCATGTATAGGATCAATTTCTTAAATGTCTGCTTGGACCCTTCTCCACTACTCCTACTTCATTCAACTACCTTTTCTGGCCTACTAATATCCTCAAATTAAACCAGCAAAGCCATTAAAAAAAAGTAATTGAATACTACTATAGAGTTTGAACCTATATTTTAATAAATAAAATGAAATTTGATGACCAAAATGGATTCTAAAATCAATTATGTTTGCTCTATTCAAGCCAACACCAAAGTTTCTCTCTGATCACCAAGAACACCTGATAAGTACTTAAACGTTTTGAATAAAGTGTTTTCAAACTCTTGTTTATAGTCAAACTAAGGAAACACTAGTTGAAAGTAACTCATTAAATGAGTTAACTAAAAAATCTCTACTTGCAGCCAAAACCAGTATGGCTCAGTGGATAGAGAGTCGGCCTGAGGACTGAAGGATCCCAGGTTCGATTCCGGTCAATGGCATGTACCTTGGTTGCAGGCACATCCCCAGTAGGGGCTGTGCAAGAGGCAGCTGATCGATGATTCTCTCTCATCGATGTTTCTAACTCTCTATCCCTCTCTCTTCCTCTCTGTAAAAAAAATCAATAAAATGTAAAAAAAATAAAAAATCTCTATTTGCAGACATTTAATTAACTTAAACTGAATAAAAATTCCATTGTCTGATTTTGGCAAATGTAAATATTAAAGAGTGGTAAAATCTAAAGAAATGATCTAAAATAGATAATACATGTTCCTGTTTCTGCATCAAATTAAGAAATTACTGGAACCATTGGCAGTATTCCAAGGTGTCTCTCACATAATTCACTCTTAAGTTATAATTGTGGGTTAATAACTGTTGGTTAAGTATAGGTTTGCTTCTTATATTTTTTAGTAACTTGTGTCTAAATAGTTATACCACATTGAAAGATGTTATATGTCCCTAAAATTGAGCCAAAACATTCTAGAAGGGAATTAGTTCAGTAACTTACATTTTAACCTCCAAATGATTCTGTCTGAACAACAGACATCAACTGCGTTAACAACATGACTTACAATGGCACATTTTCATAACTCAATCTAAAATGAATGATCTAAAGATCAGGGTTTTGGGATGCTGCTGTACTGCCAGCTACTTGAGCCCTGTTTTGCACATAGTAGCACTCAATAGCTGTTTGTTAAATGACTAATAACTGAAGAGAAAGAAGTTTCACTATTTTCACAATATAAAAATTTTATCATTATAGGCAGAAATCTTAACATTTTCCTGCTTTTAGGCATAATGCCTCAGTCTCTACTCTCTAAGATCTAAAACATGTCAAAGGGAGCGTTTGAGACATTAACAAACCTCCTTCTCCTTGAAGCTTTTTTTGGTCTTTTACTTAATAAGAGATGGCATTTATTGTTATAGCAAAAGACTGTGCTCTAGGCCCTGGCCTAGAGTCTAGGGAAAAAAATTAAATATAACAGTAAATTTTATAAAAACGTTTTCTGAGTTTAATTCAAATATTTCAAAACTTGAGTTTTAGGATTACAAATTAAGTCATTATATACAATATGGTCACTGGAGTCTGTAAGTCTGTTACCAGTGTATTCTTTGTATAGTTCTTACCAGTTTCTGGTGGACAGAATGTGTATTGGCTGCTAGAGGAAGAGCCCATGTTAAAGTCTTCTGGACTCTGTGCTTCTTTAACACTTATGGCTTCTTCTTGACTTCCAATTTCTTCTAACTTAGGTGGCTCAAGGGTCACAATATCAGAATCATCACTGACAGTTCCAAAAGAAACATTGTCTTCAAGTGACTTTTCTTCCTCTCTCTGAGGAATCATAATTTGAGAGAGAGTAAATTCAATAATTATTTAAGGGCCTTATATTTTCTACATAGTTCAAAGTGTAAATGTTACTTAAGTAGTATGGTAATTTGGGCTTGAAATAAAAGATATCTAATAAGAAAGGACTACTCAATAGTAGGTTCATCTTTTAGTATGAAAACCCTTTCAAACCCCTAGGGACTCTAACTACTGACTACTCCTTGTAGGCTGCAAAAGCTAAGAAGCCCACCTTTACAACCAAAATGAACACAGAAAGGAGAGGATTTCTTACTGGTTCCATGGGTTTATTTATGCGTAACCTTGTAGTCAGGGAGCCCATTAAAAGACTGATGAAATTTTCCTGGTTATGTATAATATGTAATAAACTTGAACAGTTATGCCATGTAAAGGTCACTTAGCTATCTAGTTTTATCTAGAAGTCAGGTAAATGCTAACAGAAAAGATTTATAGTTTGTCCTCAAATTAAAAACTGACCTTGATTTTAGCTTAATTTCTCAATTCAAGAATGTAATCTAATTAGACAAATTATACACCAATACATGGACAAGGCCTGTAAACCTATGGGTTGATGGTGAACTCTGAACCCATTTTGTCTGTCTTTTCCTGTCTAATAATGTTATTAGTCATAATAATACCTGTACTTGTTCTTTGGGCTTTTCTACATAGTTCAACTGTTTATGATGGCTGAACATGTGTAACTGTTAATATTCTTTTTATGGCTTACGTAAGTGTTATACTAGATGCCAAATACAGAAAGATGAGAAACAGAAGGCAGGACTTGAATCACTATAGTTCTCAGGATAAAAATGGTCCAGAGTGGGTTTTTTTAAATGAAGACCATAAAACCTGACTGCCTTCCATTTACCTGCCTTTCCTGGTTTGGGAAAATGCAGCTGAAACTCAGACCCTCTGGTTACAATGTTTCCCCATCACCAACAGTCAAGAGAACATCCATACTAAGACTTCCTAGGAGTGAGCCTTCCTAGAACTGAGAGATCACACTATTCGACCTTCAGATTTATGATCAAAAGGGGAAAGTGTAGGTGAAAAAAAGGGGTTCTACAGAAAATAACCTCATAAGATGATCTGATCATAAATTCCTTACTGGGCAGGTCATGGTAGGTAGACACGCCCCAGGCATATAAACAAGCCCTGTCCATCATATCTGCCCGTCTAGGAAAACGCACCTATGAAATAATTGTAACCACCCAAGATAGTACATAATCTTGTTAACTATCATGTAATCCAATCATTACTTTACTTTTTCTTTTCTTTTTTTTTATTACCTTACTTTTTCTGGCCCCCACATAATCTTCCTTAGTATCAAATGTGAAAAGAAAATGCAAAACTTATTCTGGGGAGTATTTGATATCTTGTATGTCAGGGGTTTGGTTCAAACTCTTATAAAAATTATCTACAAAAAAAAAAAAAACCCAACCTTTTTTGAAAGAAAACTATATTAGTGGTTAAATGAATAAGTCTTTAACACATTACCAATAAATTACTTTTCTAAATTAAAACACATCTGAATCAGGAGTTTATATAAAAGCTAACAACTTTAACCTTAATTGATCAATCTGGGGAATCTCAAAATCTTCAATGAAATTTATTTTTAATTCAAATAGGAACAGAATGCACAATTAGAAATGGAAGCTTTAATTAGCATTCTCTATGTTTACCATATTTCCACAGAGTAGAACACAAGCTTACCACAAGTGCTAACTTCGTTTCTTCCAAAGCTGGATAAGAAGTTTCTTCCACTACCATTGTGACAGTTTGGCTGCTCTCTGATATAAGGCAAAAATCAACTCAATTACATTTTATCACTTCGGCAGTCTTCATATATAATGATTTGAGTACAAAAAAAATGTATTCCCAATTTCTTAAAGTGGATTTAATCAAATGATAAAAGTCATTCTTATATTGCTAAAAAGATCTGTATTTCAAATATAATTATTTCAATATTTGAAATTGTCAGGGGATAATTTTAGACACTGAACTGAATTCAGTAAAGAGCAACTAAAGCAATATAATCTCTATGTAAACAGTCTGTACCTTTCAATACCATAGTACTTACTTTAAAGCAAGGTGTTTATAAAAATCTGTTAATATTGGAAACCAATTCTCAGATATCTGATGGAGCATATCCTGCATTGGTAAAGTTTATTCAAGCTAAAGGTATCACTATTCTAATGACTATCAATGTCTGACAACATAAGAATCGAAACTATGGCTCTGAATTATAAAATATAATAAAAAAAATAGACTAAAAAAACACTAACTTGAGCCCTGGCCAGAGTGACTCAGTTAGTTGAGCATCATCCCTGCACCGGAAAGGTCATCTGTTTGGTTCCCAATCAGGGCACATGCCCAAGTTGCTGGTTGAAGTCCATGGTCAGGTTGCTGTACTAGAGGCAACCAAAGGATTGTTTCTCTCTCATGTTGATGTTTCTCTCTTTCTCCCCCTCTCGCTCTCTCTGAAAAATCAATTAAAAACATATTTTAAAAAAGACTTGGAAAAATGTATGAGTTCATATTAGAAAGGCTATATAATATTATCAAAACTTGAAAGTATTAATATAAAAGGTTAAGTGACTGGCCGACTGGCTGGTGGGTATGATGTGCACTGACCACCAGGAGGCAGATGCTCAATGCAGGAACTGCCAAGCAACAGCAACTTTGCAGTGACCTCTTGCACTCGGGAACCCTGCGGGTGGTGTCAGTCAGCTGGTTTCAACCTGATCCCCACAGGCCAGGCAAGGGATCCCATCTGCCGAAAGGACCCCACTCACTCCACAGATGCCCTTCGAGTTCCAGAGCCACCCCAGATGCAGCTGGCTAGGGAGGGGCTGTGGGAAGTTGGCTCCAGGGCATGTCTAGCCGGTCTTGCCCAGACACACTCTGCCAGACACTTTCTAATTAATTTCCTTTCAATGTGCATGAATTCTTGCACTGGGCCTTTAGTATAATAATAAATGTAAATTTATATATAGCAAAAAACATACAGGGTAGGGGCAAAAGTAGGTTTATAATTGCTCAAAAGTAGGTTTATAATTGTAAATTTTATAATTTATAAAATGCTAAGTAACTGTCCGACCATCCAATTATCCCACCAGCTGGTACATATGACACACACTGATCACCAGGGGGCAGACGCTCAACGCAGGAGCTGCGGAGTTGCTGTGACTTGGCAGCAGCAGTTCTCAGGTGACACACCCTGGAACCAGAAAGGTTTCTTCTAATTAATTTCCTTTCAATGTGCACGAATCAATACACCGAGCCACTAGTATAGGAAATAATCCTATGTAATAAAGAGCTAATATGCTAATTAGACTGAACAGCAAACGACCATCCGAACAACCTTCTGGACGACCGTCCGGGCAACCTTCTGAACAAAGCCGGGGCTGCAAGGGCCAGCTGAGGCTGTGAGGGGCTGCAAGAGCCAAGCCCCTTGCATGAATTTCGTGCATCGGGCCTCTAGTACAATTATAAATGATAATACAAAAATAAACTCTGTGTTTTAAATACTCAAAACTGTAAACCTACTTCTGCCCTTCCATACCAAATGTTTACAGCAATTATGTCCAGACATAATTGGGTAGTTTAAATTTATTTTTCTCATCATTTTTTTCGCTAGCATGTATTTCACTTATAATTTAATTCATACCAAAAAAAGGGAAAAAACACCCCCTGCTTTTGTATGTTATAGTCTCTAACAGAATATTAATTTGAAGGTAAGACTCCTCAACAAAGGTGGACTTGTGTCCAAGAACTCCTAAAGAAGTATGGAAATTTTTTTAGATACATGAGGATAAGCATTTTTTGGGAGGGATTGTCCCCAGCTTTCAGTTTTTCAGAGAGATCTCTGACCCATGAAAGTTAATACTCACTGTTCAAAAGAAATTAGTAATCAACAAGTATGCTAAAAACAAGATTAACAGGTATAATCTATTGTATTTCTAGCCTGGATATCTCCATTTGATTCTCCGGGAGGGAAATGTTCTGTTTACATTTTTAGTAATTTTTAAAAGAAATTTAAAAGTAATTTAAATACAAAGATTAGAGTATACATTCATTATTTGGGCACCATATTTCTTCATATAATTAATGTAAATATCAAAACCCATAATAAGTGGGATTATACACAATGTAAATATGACACAGTTGTTAAATGCCATTTACCTCTTCTAACCAAAATACTTTGAAGTGTGACAATAACTGGAAAAGTCTGGTGATAATTTAATAATTTTGTACATCACTAGTCTTAATCAAGATTGATAATAAGTCACTGACAGACTCAATACTACATGCACAATATCAAAGAGTTATCTGGAGGTTCAAACACATACTACAGCTGTAAATAAACAAGGCCCTGGGAAGGCTGGTATCACCAGACTCTGCAGGGCTGCCCACCTAGTCCATACTAACACATTAGTCCTTCAATGGCCTAATCAATTAGCTGTCCACCTAGAAAGAAGGCAAGATTCATAATGTCCCAAACACGTCCAATTTTTAAAAATGAATATATCAGACTTATTAAACATCTTACCGTCTTGTTCTAACTGCAATACTTGTAGCTCCTCTTGCTCTAAAGATGAATACTCTGGGATGAGCTCAGAGCTGTCACTGGCTGTCCCATGTTCAGAAGTCACCATCTCTATATCAGACCCCTAGGGAAAAGTAAAAATCAGTTATTTGTCTATCAGCTCATCAAAGGTGGTTTTGAAAACAAGTAGATGCGTCCATTATTTAGAGTCCAATGCTGCTATACTCCAAAGAAAGCAGTATCTAATCTGACTACCTTTTGTTCAATTTACTCCATAAAGGCCTACAGCAGGGAAACAGCAAAATGGAGAAAAGGTTTAAATTCTGTAAGTGAAGCCAGACTAAAAGGTGAATGCTCTAACTACTCTATTTCACAAATCCAAACAATAAATATGAATTCCAAAGGATAAACGTTTGTCAACTATTTTTATTAATTTGCTTCTACTCAAGATTCTGGAGTTTATTAGGTAAGATAGGTATAAAAATTTTGAATCAAAAATTTTAATTTACAGCCTATTCAGAGAAACAGCCATATGCAAATAACTACTTATTACAGCAATGTACAAATGAAAAAGTTTAAGGGTAAAGCTTATAATGAACCCCATTAGGTTAATGGAGTTCCTTATAAAATTTTAGAGTATTTTTATTCTTCCAAGCTTATCCTTCCTACTTTGATGTTAGACTGTCTTTTACTTAATAAGTAGTTAGTGGATTTTGAGGGGGTTTTCCTTATGTCTTAATTAGTGAAATAAAGATAACCACTAGAAATAAAGATAACCACTCTACCTTTGCCCCTCAATTTTCTTATAGCTTACTAATCCATGAAACCAAAAGGTCTGAGTTCTCCTGATAAATAAACCTAAAAAAAAAAAAAAAAAAAAAAAAAAAAAAAAAAATAAAAGAACTCATTAAAGATTTGGGTTTTAAATAATTCTGAATATAAGTTTTTGGGGTTGCTACAGTGGTAGGAAATGGTAGAAACTGAGGCAAAGTTAGGGATGGACTGGTAGTTTCAGGGGAGATCAGTTCTGGCCTAAATCAGAATGGGAAAGTAGGAAAGGAAAAAAAAAAAAGAACACACATGTAAGACTTGGTAACTAAATATGATGGAAAGAGGGATTCAGGTACGTATATTTATAATAAGCTATCCCTAACACAGAATACCCTCATGCCAGAGAGGTTTACTTGCTGTCTTGCTTCACACTGGATTCCCAAGTAAGACTCCCCACAGCTACATACCGTGTTTCCCCGAAAATAAGACATCCTCCAAAAATAAGACCTATCGCATGGAAAGATAAGACATCCCCTGAAAATAAGACCTAGTGCAAGTTTGGGAGAAAAAATTAATATAAGACACTGTCTTATTTTCAGGGAAACAGGGTAGTTAATTATCCTTGAAGGAGAAGATGCTGCTAAGGGAGTTGATCTAAGCTTGATAGAAAACAGGTTAAAATTAGAAAACTCACTTATTAAAAGAAGAAACTACCTTATCCAAATAAAGAAAAGATAACGCCCTAGCTGGTCTGGCACAATGGATAGAGTGTTGACCTGTGGAACAAAGAGTCCCGGGTTCAATACTGCTCAAAGGCATGTACCTCGGTTGCAGGCTCCTCCCTGGCCAGGCCCTGGTCAGGGCAGGTGCAGGAGACAACCTATCGATGTGTTTCTCTCAGATCGATATTTCTCTTTCCCTCTCTCTACCACTCTCTCTCAAAATCAACGGAAAAATATCTTTGGGTGAGGGTAAAAAAAAAAAAAAAAGAAAGAAAGAAAAAAAGAAAAGAAACCACCTCAAACTCAATAGAGTTTGCTATTAAATTTTGAAACATTCTTGCAGAAAAGCAATCATTTTTTTGTTAATGTTGTTTTCTAGAAGATATGACTGATTGTCTAAACCTCACATTATCAAAGTAATTATAAAAAATGCCATCTAAAATATTTTTGAAGTTTGACATACTGTTTATTTTTATTTACTTTTTATTTATTTGAGAGAGGGAGAGAGTGTTATATCAATTTGTTGATCCACTTATTTATGCATTCATTGGTTGTTTCTTGTATGTACTCTGACCAGAGATCAAACCCACAACTTTGGCGTATCAGGAAGATGCTCTAAGCCACATGTGTCAAACACAAGGCCCGTGGGCCAAATCCGTCCCGCCAGGCCTTGCAATGTGGCCCACACCGCGCTGTCATCACTGCACTCCGCTGCGTTTCCATCACAATGACAGTTTATGACTGTTCAGTAAACCATTTGGCCCGCGATTTAGGCTGGATTTTAGATTTTGGCCCCTTCTCTGATTGAGTTCGACACCCCTACTCTAAGCAATCGAGACCAGCCATTAAAATCCTTATTAATGAAGGAAAAAAAGTGAGGCTTAAGGTAACCTAAAAACAAAAAGAGGTTGATAAATCCATTAAACTTTGAATAGGTACAGATTTTTATATTGCTTCTATTCTTCAGTATTTTATGATTTTTCTATAATGAACATATATTACCAGTGTGAGGAAATAATGTTTATTCTGTACTAACTAAAGGCCAGATGCACAAAGATTCATGCAAGAATGGGCCTTTCTTCCCCTGGCTGTCAGCACTGCCTTCGCTCCAGCTGGAGCCGCCTTTTTGCTCCTGCCTGGAGCCAACTTTCCGCCTTCCCACGCTGCCCAGAGGCCCAGAGTGGCTGGGGCAGTATGAAACGCAAATGTCCCGCCCCACCCCTGGCCGCTCAGCACCTGCGTATGCAAATTAATCTGCCATTCTTGTTAGTTTAATTTGCATATTCGCTTCTGGCTGGGTGGTGTCGCAAAGGTACAGTCAATTTGCATCTTACTCTTTTATTAGTGTAGATTATGAAACATCAAACTTCTATAACAAAATTCATTGTGATACAGCTGTAGCCATGGTGCTTTTCCTAGCAAGTTCTGCTACTACCCATGTTTCCCTGAAAATAAGACATCCTCCAAAAATAAGACCTAGCACATGGAAAGATAAGACATTCCCTGAAAATAAGACCTAGCGCAACTTTGGGAGAAAAAATTAATATAAGACACTGTCTTTTCGGGGAAACAGGGTATATATCAGAAGTGGAACAGATATTCTCCATGCTCCTTTCTGGGTGTTTTTATATGCAGGCTCTGGTATTTCCCAGTTCCATACTTTTGGGAAAATTACTTAACCTCTCTTAAGCTTTACCTTTCTTAACTATGAAATGAGAATGAAAGTAATCTATACCAGATATTTAAAATTATATGAGGGGACAGAGATCCAAGATGGCTGCGCCCAGGTGAACACCTATCCGCAGCCGCACACAATTTCAATAAAATACAACTAAAATATAAAACGGACATTGCCCAGAACTACAGGAAGGTTGACTGACTGGAAATTCTACAGTGAGAAGCAAGGAGAAAACCAGAAGGAGGTGTGGAGGAGCTGGAAAAGCCCAAGGTACAGAGACGCGGCGCGCTGAGAGGACGGACCTGAGAGGAGGGAGGCCGAGTGCCTGGCGGGCGTTCCCTAGCGGAAAGGAGATAAAACTCCGACTGTGCTGGGCCCCCAACTGCTCTGAACCCCAGTTCTAGGCCAGACCCCGGGGACTCAGGCTCAGCCATAGGGAGCCGGGCTGTAAGGCAGAACCCCGGGGAAGTGGCGAAAGGAGGTCCCAGCGGTGCGCACACTGTGCACAGAGAAGGGACGGTCAGCTGTGCCGTGGGATTGCCCTGACGGGAAGGAGACTGGGGCTCCAGACTGCTCTGAACGCCACCTCCAACTCCACTTCCAACTGAACTGAACCCCAATACCGGGCTCATTGTGGGAGAGCATAGACTGTTTGGCAGCAGGCAAAAATCGAGGGCACCTTTCTCTGAGGCGCCGGCAGCGAGCACTGACGGACCCGCATAGGGCGTGGCTGACAGAAGCCAAAGCTGCAGGCTCCACCCTGAAACCCTGTCCCATCTGTAACTGCGAAATGCGACAACAAAATAGATCACAAACGAAAGAAATGGAGGACAAAAAGCGTCTGGATATAGAGTTCAAATCTACGCTTATAAGGTTTTTCAAGAATTTCCTAGAAAAGATGGATAAGGTCTATGATGATATGAAAAGAGATCAACTAGAATTAATAAGGAGTCATCGAGAAATGATAAGGGATCAACAAGAAATAAAGAATACATTGTCTGAAATAAAAAATATTTTACAGAGTCCTAAAAACAGAAGGGAAGATCACAAGAATCAAGTCAAAGATTTGGAACATAAAGAGCCAGAAGACACTCCTCCACAGAAGCTAGAAGGCAAGAGAATTCAGAAAATTGAAGATAATGTAAGAAACATCTGGGACAACTTCAAGCGAACCAACATCAGAATTATTGGGGTCCCAGAAGATGAGAGAGAGCAAGATATCGAAAACATACTGAAAGAAATAGTGACAGAAAACTTCCCCCACCTGGTGAAAGAATTAGACTTACAAGTCCAGGAAGCGCATAGAACCCCTAACAAAAGGAATCCAAAGAGGACCACACCGAGGCACATCATTATTAAAATTCCAAGAGCAAAAGACAAAGATAGAATATTAAAAGAAGCAAGAGCAAAGAAGGTAGTAATCTATAAAGGAGCACCTATACGATTGTCAGCTGACTTCTCAACAGAAACCATGCAGGCCAGAAGGGAATGGCAAGAAATATTCAAGGTGATGAATAGCAAGAACCTTCAGCCAAAAATAATCTACCCAGCAAAGCTATCACTCAGAATCGAAGGCCAGATAAAGAGCTTCACTAATAAAAAAAAGCTAAAGGAGTTCATCACCGCCAAACCAGAATTATATGAATTGCTGAAGGGGGTTCTTTCAGAAGAGAAAGTAAACAAAGATAAAAATTATGAACAACAAATACGTAACTATCAACAAGTGAATCTAAAAACCAAGGAAATTAAAAAAATCTGATGAACAATATTAACTATTGAATATAATAGAATCAGAGGTATGGAAGGGGAGTGAACTGACGATTCTTGGGGAAAAGGGGAGAGAGGGGCGTGGGAAGAGACTGAACATAAACTGTGCATCTATGGATAAGGACAATGGGGAGAGGGGAAAGGGCAGAGGGTGGGGTGGGAACCTGGTGGAGGAGAGCAATGGTGGGGGGGAAAAAAGAACATTTGTAATAATATGAACAATAAAAACTTATATAAAAAAAAATTATATGAGAATATAGGTAAAGCACAGAACCTAACCAATAATAAACTCTCAATAAATATTTACCTGTCTCAAAGCTGAGAAAAGCAATGTGCGATAATGTAAAGATGTTGGCTCATAGAGTTTTCAGTAATGAAGCTGAATGTAGCTGGGAAAATGTCCAAGCGGGAGACAATGAAATCGTACACTTAAATGTAGAAAAAAATACTTACTTTTAAAGAACTCAGTTTTTACATCACTGCTAACACCATAATATTACAAACTAATGAATGTCATGCACTGGGAGAAGGGGAAGTCCCTCAGCCTGGCCTGCACCCTCTTGCCGTGAGCCCAGCTTCTGGCTGAGCAGCACGCCCCTCCTGTGGGAGCGCAATGACCACCAGTGGGAAGCTCTTGCGTTGAGTCTGCCCCTGGTGGTCATAGTGACCAGTCGTCCACTGTTCGATTGATTGGCATATTAGCCAATATATATATATATATATATATATACACACACACACACACACACACACACACACACACACATATATATATACACACACACACACACACACACATATATATAACACACACACACACACACACACACACACACACACACGTATTTTTCGGACCATAAGACGCACCGGACCATAAGACGCACCAGTTTTTAGAGAAGGGAAATGAAGAAAAAAAGATTCTGAAACAAATAGTGTCCTAAAATATTTTATGTGCATTAAAACCCAACATCACAGTCATAAACACATGTAATCAACCCTGTAAAGTAAACAGAAGCATTTAGAACCATTTTAGAGCCGGGCAAGCACACAGAGACCACACAGAGCCGGGCAAGGAAAAAAACTTTTTTTTTAAAGTATATGTGTAGGCTATATTTGGACCATAAGACGCAGGGACTTTTCCCCCCCACTTCTGGGGGGAAAAAAGTGCGTCTTATGGTCCGAAAAATACGGGGTGTGTGTGTGTGTGTGTGTGTGTGTGTGTGTGTGTATATATATATATAGGGTTGCCTTATAAAAAGTATTAACATACCTCATGATTGATGACAGTCCAACCACAAGATGAATCACTGTCACTGGAGTTTTCAGCCATTTTTCAGGTCTATAAATACAAAAAACACTGACATGTTAGGCATAATTTATTTTTTAACATTTTTTTTATTGCTTTCAGAGAGAAAGGGTGAGGGAGAGACAGAAATATCGATGAGAGAGCATCACAATTGGCTGCCTCCTGCACACCCCTCAATGGGGAACAAGCCCACAACCCAGGCATGTGTCCTGATCAGGAATCGAACTATGACTTCCTGGTTCATAGTTCGGCCATGAAGCCATATCAGGAAAGTGGGCATATTTTTTTTTTAATTCTAAATATGTGACCTAAGTATTGAAAAGTGACTTTCTCTCTCTCATTTGAAACTGAGACAACCTAGGTTTGAATTTACCATACAGGATATGATTGTATACCTGAATAAATATAACCAAACTTTTAAAACAAGGAGATCCTCCTAAACTGGAAATAGTCTAGACAGCAAATACTTCAATTGAAATTAAAATAGGGTGGAGAAGGGGTTTGGGAGCAGAAATTGGTTAGAATCTGATGTCACTGGCAATAACCTAGACCTAGTTCAAAACCCACATACATTTGTCTCTACCTGGTTAGTTCTCCCCTTTCTTTTTTTTCTTTTTCTTTTTAATATATTTTATTGATTTTTTACAGAGAGGGATAGAGAGTTAGAAACATCGATGAGAGAGAATCATTGATCAACTGCCTCTTGCACACACCCTACTGGGGATGTGCCCGCAACCAAGGTACATGCCCTTGACCAGAATCGAATCTGGGACCTTTCAGTCCTCAGGCTGAGGCTCTATCCACTGAGCCAAGCTGGTTTTGGCCTCCCCTTTCCTTCTGAAACTCCTATTTAACCTGTTAACCGGGGAGTTCCCTTTTTAATTACGCAACATACAACGGGCGCATACTCTTTCACTAGGACGTGTCAGTACGTCACGCCCCATGGACGTATATATTATTATTTTTTAATTTATACTTAATTAAAATAAAATACATATTTTTTCGTTTATTTATATATAAAGCACAAAGGAAAATACAAAATTACAAACAAATAGAAAAGAATACCAACAAAAAAATGGAAACATCGAATTAAAAAATTATAAATTTTACAAACAATTATAAAGATTACAGCTGAAGCCGGTTTGGCTCAGCGGTAGAGTGTCGGTCTGCGGACTGAAAGGTCCCAGATTCGATTCCGGCCAAGGGCATGTACATTGGTTGCGGGCACATCCCCGGTAGGGGGTGTGCAAGAGGCAGCTGGTCGATGTTTCTCTCTCATCGATGTTTCTAGCTCTCTATCTCTCTCCCTTCCTCTCTGTAAGAAAATCAATAAAATATATTTAAAAAAAAGAAAAAAAGAAAAAAGATTGCAAAAAATATATACCGTCCCTCTCAGGGTGCAACATATATTTCAAGGACATATTCAGATGTCCTACCCGTTCCCGATAGTGTTTATGTTTGACGTATTTATAGGTCCCGCTCAGTTAACAGGTTAAACTTCAAATCTGCCCAGCTGGTGTGGCTCAGTGGTTGAGCATCAACCTATGAATCAGGAGGTCATAGTTCGATTCCTGGTCACGGTAAATGCCCAGGTGGAGGGCTCCATCCCCAATAGGGGGTGTGCAGGAAACAGCCAATTGGTGGTTCTCTCTCATCACTGATGTTTCTATCTCCACCCCAAGAAAAAATAAAGTATCTATATATAAAAACCTAAGCAACTGAACGACAAATTGACCAGTCACTATGACATGCACTGACCACCAGGGGGCAGATACTCAACACAGGAGCTGCCCTCTGGTGGCCAGTGCGTTCCCACAGGGGGAGCGTGGCTCAGCTAACCGACCTATCCCGGCAGCCCATCAGCCCAGTGGCAGCCATTCAGTCCCTCAGTCGTCCTACAGGTCCAATCTCCGGAGAATGGGCACTGCCGATCTACTGGAAGTTGGCCTCAGGCACCATGATCACTTCACCTCCCTGGACCTCCACAAGAAAGAAACAATATAAAAGCGGTTGCCAGGTGGCTCCCAACAACTAGTGTGAACATCAGTGGGACGAATTCAGATCCCTGGATGGCAAGGGTGTCCCATTGCCCACCCGGAGGGCTGATCACACCCCAGCCACCCGAACCTCCTTGGGATGGGCTCTAGACACAGGGCTCACGGCTGGCAACGCTGCTCTAAGGGTGAGAGCCACTCCTGATGGGGAGTGACTGGGTGTGAGCTTGTGGCAGACGCAGCAGGGAGGGATGAGCAGGAGCATCAGGCAGGAGTGGCAGGCAGCGTTTGACTGTGGGTTTCAGCCAATCCCCACAGGCCTCCCTGAGGGACCCCACCTGTGCATGAATTAAATATATATATATATATTTTTATTTTTTTTTTAAACTTCAAACCCAAACTCACCAAGCCTTACTGACTCTGTTCTATATATCTGTCTTATCATACAGAATATGTACTTCCATTGTTGCACATTTACTGAGAACACAATTATTGTACATATTAGAGGCCCCAGTGCACAAAATTTATGCACTGGGGTGGGGAGGGGTGGCAGTCCCTCAGCCCAGCCTATGCCCTCTCGCAGTCCGGGACCCCTAGGGAGATGTCCACCTGTTGGCTTAGGCCCACTCCCTGTAGGCATCGGACCTAAACCAGCAAGTAGACATCCCTCTCGCAGTCCGGGAGCCCTCACTCCTTACGGCTCACCTGCTCGCTGCTCCTTAATGCTTCTGTGGAGGCGGGAGAGGCTCCCGGCACCATCGCTATGCTCACCAGCCATGAGCCCGACTTCTGGCTGAGCAGCTCTCCCCCTGTTGGGAGCACACTGACCACCAGGGGGAGCTCCTACATTGAGCGTCTGCCCCCTGGTGGTCAGTGCGCATGATAGCAACCAGTACTTCTGGTCGTTCCACTGTAAAGGTTGCTTAGGCTTTTATCATATAGATACTGAGAACAGATTAGATAGAAGCTGATGGCTAGTGTTCTAATAGAACTCTACTGTAGAAAATTTAATATAGAACTCATAGTCAAATAAGAACAGAGGGGAAAATATATCTGAATCTTCCATTACTGATCCTAGTAATTTATAAATTAATATTTTAAAAGAGAAGATACAAAGGGGTGATTGGTTACTACAGTATAAATATTACCATGTTTTAAATAAAGTTCTCACTCTAAAATAAGATTATGTGGCTTTAAGATCACGATAGAGCATTTTATAATACGTTCATTTGAGGCCATCTGATTGTTTGATTTCCTATTTATAATTGATTAGAGGCCAGATAGTTTATAAATTTAATGGTAAACTTATTAAAAATATATTACAGCAAATTTTTTTTCTGCCTAGTAGAGATGATTATTCCAAAGACTACAGTCTGAAACCCTATAGGATAAGCCAATTTTATATTTTAGCAATTTTATTTTAGCATTCCTTTAAAAAATACATTTTTATTGACTTCCAAGAAAGGAAGGAAAAGGGAAAGAGAAGAAACATCAATTGGCTGCCTCCTGCATGTCCCTACTACGGATCGAGCTACCACTTGGGTGCCCTGACCTGAAATCAAAACAGTGAGCAACCTCCTGGTATATGGGATGACACTCAACTAACTGAGCCACACAAGCTGGATTTAGTATTCCTTATTGAATTGACTATATAAATCCCATTTACTCACTGGACGTTTACACGAGTTTTTTTTTTAAACTTTTTTATATATTACTACTGGTATTTGAATTGTTTACAACATTTGAAAATTATGGGCTGATATATGGGACTATACAAAAACTGAGTAATTAATTTTGCAGGAGGAAAGAAGAAAGGTCAAAGAAGGCTTTATAAATGAGCTACATTGTTTTTTCAGACATGCTAGGAAGGTCTTTAAACTGAAATCTCTGTCAACACTTAAAAATTGAGAGAAATCACACAAAATAAATTCTGGTTCCTCATTTAAAAAAAGATATAACACTGGAAGGATTTCTTAAGAGAACAAAATCATTGCAGAACAAAAGCAAAGGCAGTACCTCAGAAATGTCAGAATGGCTATCATCAACAAATCAACAAATAACTGTTGGGAACCCTCCTACACCATAGGTGGGACTGTGAATTTGTGCAGCCACTCTGAAAAATAGTATGGAGGTTCCTCAAAAAAATTAAAAATAGCGTTTCCTTAAGAACCAGCAATACCACTTCAGATATTTATCCTGAGAAAACAAAAACACTAATTTGAAAAGACATATGAACCCCTATACAATAGCAAAGGCATGGAAGCAATCTTAAGTATCCATCCATAGACAACTGGATCAAGATAGTGTGGAACATATATACAACAGAATATTATCTGGCCATAAAAAAGAATGAAAAAATGCCATTTCTGACATGGATGGACATGGATGGGCTTAGAGGGTATTATGCTAGATGAAATAAGTCAGACAGAGAAAGACAAATACTATATGATTTCACTTATAGGTGGAATCCAAAAAAAAACCAACAAAACAAATGACTAAACAAAACAGAAACCGACCCATAGATGTATAGAACAAGCTGATGGTTACCAAAGGGAAGGGGGATTTAAAAAATAAGTATTTTAAGGTAAAATGATTTTAAAATCTTACTATCAAAAGTTTTAGAGTATTATTTTAAAACTAGTGCCTTAATTAAAGGAAATTAATTAGAAGAAATATTTTAATATAGCTATTCACCCTTTCTCTATAATACAAGTGTCAACCAAATTCACGATCAACAATGAGACTGAAACATATGCGTGCAAATAGCGCCAGTGAGAGCTTTATATAGTATATAATAAAAGTCTAATATGCAAATTGTTCAACCCGGAGTTTGACTGCTCTCTTTGACATGCACAGATCACCAGGGGGCAGTGCAGAACATGGCGGGCATTGGTGATGCAGTGCTAGCAGTGGGCAGCAGTGGAGGCACTGCTGGCCCCAATGGGTCCCAACTACAGCAGGACTATGGTGGAATGGTGAAGCAGGTGAGCAGGGTCGTACTGCAGACAGCAAGCAACCAGCAGCACTGCAGGCAGCTGG